TTTGTTGAGTAACCGTAGTTGGTTACGTTGTTATGCATTGTTATATGTATAAAGCAATTTGTAAACCTCACAGAGTTCAGTTGAGTTGAATAAGACTCAGAGTTAATCTCTCTTCTCTGTCTTTCCCAGTAATCTTGCAGTATATACATAACTATATATAACAAGTATTACCGAATGCAAAAACTATTCACAAACTATAAATAATATGGCATGATTTAATTTTCAAAACTTTTATATTTAAGGACACATGTTTTACATGATTTTTTTTTTTTACTGTTTGCAGATCGAGCGTCCATCCTATCCATCTGGCAAAAAATCTGGGTCTTACTAGTTTTATTATTCTTTTTTGTTTTGGGCCAAACTCACTTTTATTATTTGTAAAGAATTTAATCAATCGTTATTATCTGGGAGCGACTCATCGCGTCGGTGCTTTCGACATCATTCAAACAAAGCAGTGAGGCTTTTTATTTGTGTTTTGAGAGGAAAACCAGCGGTGAAGCATTTTTTATTTTTGGGTACTGAGTATTTTTCACTTTGATATGTTCAATAATTGAGAGTATCAAATCCAAAGAGAGACGCAAAGTAAAATTAGTTATAACTAACGATAGCTAAAATTAATAAGGAAAAAAAAAGGGATAATTAGGTCTCAAAATATCAATTTAAGTTATTAAATTTCAATTTGCAACTGAGACTTTTTTTGTAAGGGTTTGTACTGATATTTAAAAATTATTTTTTGAAAAAATTGTTTAGAATACCGACTTCTTAATATATAGTATGTATTATGAAAGCTAAAGAAAAATGTGAACGACGTCAATATGATAAGAGCAAAAGAGAGAAAAATACTTAAATCAAGTTCTTTATACATCTATTATGTCACATTCTCAAGTCCAATGTGATTATGTGTTCCATTTTTTAATGTGAACTTATATTAAATGATAATACTTCAAAAACAAGACACATGACAATTTGGTTGTAGAACTTAATATATAAACATTTATATATATATATATATATAAAAGAAACTTGGTGTTGTCCAAAGAGAAATAAGAGAATTCTCATTATTTTACCAGTACATATAGTTTCTATATATTTATAACCTTTCAAACAAAAGAGTATAATAACATAAAGAAAATTCACTTACATATTTGCATAATATATATTAATAATAAAATGCTCCCAAGAAACAGTAGATTTTAGAGGTTATCTGATTTTAAGGGTAAAAATTCTAAAGATATATCCTCTCTTTCAAGGTTATAAAATCCACGTTGTAATGAAGCTATTAAACATTTAAATATTTAATATTGCTGGTTATTCCTTTCTTTCATTCTTCTAATATATGATGACCAAGCCTGACAAACCTATGTTTTACATACACTTTCATATATTTTTGGTGGATTTTTGTTATTATTATTGGTCCTTAATTGTATTATTAGAGTATAATATTCATATTAGAATGTTTTAACTTGAATTAGTGCGTAATAGAAGCAAATTTGTCATAACCTATCTTTCAATTTTTAATTGCAGCTTTTTTTGAGGAATTAAAATAAAAAAAAAGAAATATTAAAAGGAAAAAAAGTAAAAGAGGGTCAGATAGTAAAACGGTGCGTTGTACTACCTGCCCTAAAATTCAAATCATCATCGTCGTCTTCAGGAGAGGCACACAAGGGGGAGGACGGCGTGGGCAGAAAGTGAGAACCAGAGGGCAGAAGAGTGGCGACAGCACGAGAAGACCAGGGGGAGTGACGGCACAATCACAACCTCCGGCATTCTCTCCGTTCACCGCTCACATTCTTCTCCGTTGAATCTTCCTGGTGGCAGAGAGGACCAGTGACGGCAGAAGACAGAACGAAGGACCAGAGGATTGCGGCAGAGGCAGACCAGAGGAGCTCGATCTGTTCTCCACGAATCTTCATCTCCGTTGAATCTTCCTGGTGGCAGAGAGATCGCGACAGAGACAAGTTGAGCAGAGGACGGCGTGAATGAACAGAGGATCAGAGGAGTCGACGGCGAGAGGTCCAGAGTGTGCGACAGGAGCCTTCAATCGTTCTTCATTCTCCATACTCCTCACTCTCGGCCAATTCCATCATCTCCGTTGAATCCAAATATTCGAATCCACCACCATCACCATTTCTTCCATCACCGTTAAAATCCATCTTCACCATTCCATTCCATTCAATCCAGCATCATCTTCATCACCTCTCTCGGCCTCATTCATATTTTACCTGAATCCGTCCCTTCACCTCAACTTGCATGGTTGCTTGGTGCTTCATACGAGTTGTATCTGCATCGGGTTCTATGAGCAGCTGAGTTCATTGCCTCTTGGAGATGGAGCAGCGGCTGGAGTTCCAGAAGCTAGCAGGGGAGTTAATTTAATTCAATTCATTTTCTCTTATCTAAATTTGGATTCTCTGTTTGTTTGTAGAATGCTGAGATTTCGGTTGATTATCTCTATTGAATTGAGCACTTGTGATTGTGACTGAATTTTGTAGCTTAAATGTTATATTTTTGTATTCCTTTTACGAGTTTATTGATATTGTATTGTTTCGCATGTTATATAATTGATTTGAGCTTGCTTTTGAGTGTCTCATTCGAGCATTATTTTTTCAGAGGAAACGCTATTTGATTTAATCACAGTTGCACACTAAGTGGTTTTAAATAGCAAGTTAAGAGATGTTTACTAACTAGGATAGGAGTAATCACTAATTATAATTGCTAGACTCAAATGATATTTTGGGGTTTTTCATTAAGACTTAGTGCATTGTTTTTAATTCTCAAAATATTTTGAACAAAAAAGGTCACTAATCCATTTCTAAGAAGTATTCATCTCATACATTTTATCATATCCATTCTCATTCATTTTTATAAAGGAAAATATTTTTTAAAAAAAGTTTAGATTTATTCCATTGCATCTTTAATAGTTAGTAAAGTAAAATTAATTTTCAAAACCTAAAACATTTTTACCAAGTCAATTCTTTATCCTTTACCTATTTAGTTGTTTAGGATCTTTTTAGAGGCTCCTGAACGTAAATATAATTCCAATCGTGCACTATACTGTATTAATTCGGTTAATTTTTAAAATTAATCTAGAACAACTAATGGTTCGTTCTTCCCTTACCATAGCTATTTATCTTGATTCTTTAAGTTCAATGCATGAATGCAATAACACCATTAATCAAAATGACAGGCCTATGGATTCATTTATTTCGTAGTCATCAATAGAGCTTGCTCGACAAGATTTTTTTAAAACTAAAATTTGATATAATCCTTACTTATTGATAGACAATGAAAAAAATTAAATATTGACTTTAGATTTACTTACCCTGCTATAAATAAATTTAAGTAAAAAAATTGAAATTTTGAAAAATAGTTGTTCTCTTCAGATTAATTTTAGCTTGTACGTGACTGCAAGTCTGTAACTCATTATAGGTACCCATCAACCGTTGACTCTGACCTAAAACAATCTAGAAGTCGCTGCAAAAAATTACTTTGATTTAAGAATCTAACAACTACAAAAAAAAAAAAAGACTTTAAACAATGACTTTCGGCGGCGACAAAGAAAGTCACCGCTGAAAGTCCACTTTCAGTGACGACACCAAAAGGTCACTACTGAAACTAAAAGTCACCGTTGAAAGTGACTTTTTTGTCGCTGCTGAAAGTGGACTTTTAGTGGTGACTTTTTTTGTCGCTGTTAAAAGTATACTTTTGATAATCATTGGGTTCACTTTCAGCGGCAACATTCTATAGTCGCCGCTGAAAGTAGACTTTTAGCAACGATTTTATAATGTCGCCGCTAAAAGTGTAATATAATAATATATATTTTATTTTATAATATTAATGAACATATTCAATTTGGTTTAGCGGCAAAAAGATTGGATGCGAAAGGAGGTGGTCACAAGTTCAAACTTTGAAGAAGACACATTTAAGGTGAAAATATTTGAATAATGACATGGCAGGGAGGAGTGATGTGGCAATGACGTGGAGGTGCTAGTAATGATGTGGCGGTCGGCGGTGATGATGTGGCAGCTGGTGATGATGACGTGGCGGCCGGCGGTGATGGCGTGGCGTTGGTAAGGCCAATTCTTATTAGGTATTACTTTCAGTGGCGGCAAAAAAGCCGCCGTTGAACATCTCTTTTGGTTGTGACAAATTGTCGCCGCTGAAAAATCTTTTCGCGGTAACAAGAATATTGCCGCTGAAAGTGTCTTTCAACGGCAACATTCTTGTCGCCGCCGAAACTTTTAAAAGTTGTCGCTGAAAGTTTTTAACCACTTTTTAGCCGTGACTTTTTGTCGCTGCTGAAAGTCAATTTTTTTTTGTAGTGCAACTGTTGACTTTGAATTAAATAAAAGTTTTTACAAATTTGTAATGATTTATTTATTTTCGAAACAACTTCACAAAACGATAAAATTGAAGTCAAGCGATGCTTCCTTTTCTGCACCACTGTTTAGGCCAAGGAAAAAGAAAAACAATAAAAACAAAACTTCTGCACCGTTTGGATCGATTTTCACGATTTACGAGTGAGACTATTATTAAATTGTTATTTAATCATTTTTATTTAGAAAATTATTTATATTTTCCGGCCAAGAAAAAGAAAATTATTTATGATAAATATTGCAAACACTCATTTTAACACACAAACACACACTTAATAGTTGCTCCTCAGGAATTTGGCCTCACACCCAATGCAACTTGGTCCGCCGTAGATCATTGAGTCCTTCAAAATAAATGAAAATTAAAACAAAAACAAACTGGAAGAAAGAATCCGTCGACCTGCACCATCATTACTTTCCTCAATCAACGGTGGCTCCAGGAAACGACAGAAAAGTCAAACAAAACAGAAGCCACCGACCTCTACCAGGTGTGGATCCATTTAATATATATATATATATATATATATATATATATAAAAGAGTCACGATCCACGTTAACTGTACAGGTTTCTCTCTCGTTTGAGTTTTCAAATCTCAACACCTAGCTTCAACTCCGCGATTATTGCAGCCATGGCGATTCAAGTGGCCTCACCATCATCCCGTAGCTTCACCAGCGAAGCTAAGTATCGATATGATGTCTTTCTGAGTTTCAGAGGTGAAGATACTCGCCACATCTTCACTGCGCCTCTCTACGATGCTTTGCGCCGTAAGGGAATCAACGCCTTCATTGATGACGAGAAGCTTGGGAAAGGGGAAGAGATTTCACCTACGCTTCTTAGAGCCATTGATAGATCAAGAGTTTCCATTATTGTGTTCTCTAGAAACTATGCTACCTCCACATGGTGCCTAGAGGAACTCGGCCATATCATTTGGTGTCAAAAGCAGAAGAACCAGCTGGTTATGCCCATCTTTTACAAGGTGGATCCGATGGATGTTCAGTATCAGAGAAACAGTTTTGAGGAAGCCATGGCTGCTCTTGAAGAAAGGTTTAGAGATGACTTGGAGAAAGTACAACGATGGAGATCTGCTTTGTTTGAAGCTGCTAGCTTATCATCGGCATGGCTTTTCGAAGATGGGTATGCTTTCTTATACTATTTTTTGAATGCCTTCTACTGATAAATTTTTCAAATAATGATGGTTAGAACGCTACTGGAGATGTTTGAAATTTCGATCTGTGACTTTTGCTTTTGTAATTCAAAGGTTCTATAAAATTGTAGTTTTTACAGTATTTTTCTTATGAGGATTATTATAGATTGTGTTTAATATTCACAATTTTTATTTTCAATTTAGAAGCTTACATACTTCTATATTTTGACTTTTATGGTTTTTGCATCATTACTTTTGGATTTACTTAAATGATAGAATTGAAATAACAAATATTTATATTTCTATAACTTCAAAAATCATTTAGACATGCATAGTGAAAGGATTAAAATCTTAGAGAGCTAAAACAGCATAGAAATATAAAACAGAATATGTGGCGATAACCGTCTTCATAGCTAAAAAAATTAACTTTTCCCTTTGTAGATACCAAGATGGATTTATTGAAAGTATCGTTGAAGATACATTTGCTAGGCTACCTCCTAAACGCTACCATAACGTTGATTACATCGTTGGACTTGAGCCTTATATAGAAGAAGTGATGTCACTTTTGGATGAAACTGATGGCAGAGTTTGTGTGTTGGGAATTTATGGAATTGGTGGGATTGGCAAAACAACCCTTGCAAAAGCTGTCTATAATTCAATCTTCTACAATTTTGAAGGTGCTTGTTTTTTGTTTGATGTTAGAGAAACATCAAAGAAATATCAAGGTGTTATTCACCTTCAACAAATGCTACTATCAGAAATTCTAGATGATAAGATCAAGTTTAGCAGTGCTGATGAAGGAATAACAAAAATAAAACATAGACTCTCTCACAAAAAGATTTTGTTGGTTCTTGATGACGTCGAAGAAGCTGAACAGTTAGAACAGCTTGCTGGAGGGTGTGATTGGTTTGGTTGTGGAAGCAAGATCATTATAACAACAAGAAACAAGCAATTGCTAATTGCACGCGATATTAAGAAGCAATATGAAATGAAAGAGCTAAATGAGCATTACGCTCTTGAGCTCTTTTGTTGGCATGCATTTCGTACAAGCCACCCTCCAAAAGTATACAAAAGTATGTCCATTGGTATTATACGTTATATACGTGGCCTTCCTTTGGCTTTAAAATTGATAGGCTCCAATTTGGCTCGCAAAAACTTGGAGGAATGGAGATATACATTGAAACAATATTATCAAATCTCAAGAGGAACAATACATGAGATATTGAAAATAAGCTATGATTGCTTACAAGATGATGCTAAGTGTATTTTCTTGGACATTGCTTGTTTCTTTAAAAAGGAGACATTGGAATTTGTAGAAGACATACTCGGAGCTTGTTACCATGGGACAAGGTTTTTTATTGAGGTTCTTGTAGATAAATCTTTGATAACTATTGCTGATAATGGTCTTTTGCTGATGCATGATCTAATACAACAAATGGCTAAAGAAATTGTTGAGCAAGAGGCACCCTCAAATCCTAGTAAACGTAGCAGGTTATGGTATTACAAAGATGTGCTTAATGTGCTGCAAAATAATTTAGTAAGAGAAAAAAAAGTTATCTGTTTCCTTACATACATTAAATTGTACAAATTTGACAAATTATCTAACAATGTCACTTTTTTGAACTTGTACTATAGGGAGGAAATGATATTGAAGGAATAATACTTGATCCACCTAAACAAGAAGAAGTGATGTGGAACGGCTTGGCTTTTGAGAAGATGAATAATCTTCGAATTCTGATTGTTCGAAATACCCAATTCTTTACAAGTCCCAAGTATCTTCCTAATAGTTTGAGATTGCTTGATTGGGAGGGATATCCTTCTATGACTTTACCACCAGATTTTTCTCCTCCAAAACTAGTTTGCTTCAAGTTATGTAGAAGTCTTTTCAAATTTGAAGAGCCATTCCAGGTACTTTATTGACTCTTGTTTCTATGATCAAATTTCTTGAGCCATAATGTTCTTCTAAAAATTCACGAATAAATTACTCTCAACTGATTATATTTTTTATTCTCTTCTCTAGAATCCTCAACTATTTTTTGACTCAGAGGAGATTTTTCAAAGATTCAACATAAGATTAGATAAATCAAAGGGAGGCTGGACTATTCTATTCAAAAGACAATCTTTCTTGACAATTGTCATTAATTAAATAATATCGGTTTTGTTTTGCAGAAGTTTGGATATGTGACACACATGAATTTCTCGCGGTGTGAATTCATAACAGAAGTACCTGATATGTCTCATTTTCAAAATTTAAAAACATTAAGCTTTCATGAATGTCGCAATTTGATCAAAGTTCATGATTCAGTGGGACTTCTTGGTAAGATTATCAAATTAGATGTTGGTAAATGCACCAAACTTAGCAGCTTTCCACGTGAAATCAACATGCCGTCTCTTGAAGTGCTCGTTCTTACTAACTGCAAGAGCCTTGAGTGCTTCCCTAATTTAGTTGGAAAGATGGATGCACTTGGAAGTATTTTTGCAGAAGGTAGCGCTATTAAAGAGCTTCCAAACAGCTTATTCACGTTGCAAAATCTTAGCACACTCATGTTGGGAGGACTTCAGCCTCATGGTAGAAAATGTTTGAAGAAATTACTGCAAGAAAGCCAACCACTTATCAGTTGCCTAAGCATAGATTGCTTAGATCTTGGAAACTGTGGCCTTTTGGATGAAGATGTTTACCTTACTCTGAAATATTTTCAGAATCTGCAAGACTTGGATTTATCAGGAAATGATTTTGCGTCACTTCCTGGGTGCATTAAAGAGTGTGCTGATCTAATGATGCTAGAAATAAATAACTGCAAGATGCTAAGAGACATACCAGAACTGCCATCGGGGTTGCAAGACATAAGGGCAGAGAATTGCACTTCGTTAACAACTGAATCATCAAGCCGTTTATGGTTTCAGGTTTTTCTTATTCCTTTGATAATTTTCACTTGTCATGCTGGATTTAAAGCTTTTCCAGGTATGAACTACTAGAAATCATGTCATGACCAGAGCTTCTTATTAGTGTGGGTTAATAACGTTTCGGCATTCTGTTATCTTTAATAATTAATATTCATTGAAAACATTACAATGAATGGGATATTAAGTGATTTTTTTATCAGAGGTAATTCTATTTGAGGTATTGTTGAACACTAAATGTAAGCACTTCTCCCAACAGGGATTCGAGCCTTAGTTCATCATGTTATAAGAGACTAGTCTTTTGCTCTATCTCCAACTTCCATTGGTAGAGATTAAGTGATTTGATTTAGTGTAAAGTAGCATCCAGCACCTTAATGTTATTTTTCAGGTGTATCTAACACCCTGATCTTATATATGATGTTATTTTATATATAATGCGTCCATCACCCTGATCTTATATATGATGCATCCAGTACCCTAATGTTATATTTTTTGTGCTTCCAATATTCTAATCTTATTTTTTGTGCGTCCAACACCTTAGACCATAAATAAGATTAGGCTACCATATGCAATTAGAAAATAACATCAGGAGTGTGGGATAGTTTAGCCCTTGATATATCTTATCTATGAATAACTAAACTGCAAATATTATTGTACTTATTATTCTCAAATCTGAAAATGTCTTTCGTGTATGTTGTTTCGATACATCAGGCAAAAAGCTTCTTTACTATGCCGGCAACAACATTTCCCGACTGGTTCGACTATTGCTGCGAAGGAGGCACATTCACTACAAAAAAATAGACTTTAGGCGACGACTTTCGGCGGCGACAAAAAAAGTCGCCGCTGAAAGTCCACTTTCGGCGGCGACACCAAAAAGTCGCCGCTGAAACCAAGACTTTCAGCGGCGACAAAAGTGTCGCCGCTGAAAGTGGACCTTCAGCGGCGACTTTTTTTGTCGCCGCCGAAAGTGGACTTTCCGCGGCGACTTTTTTTGTCGCCGCTGAAAGTATAATATAATAATATATATTTTATTTTACAATATTAATAGGGAAAACCATATTGGAGGTACCTATACTTTCTCTCAATTTTTAATTTGGTACCTATGTGTTTTTTTCCCTTTAATTAAACATTTAATCTTATCCTTTTAGCAACATTAGCTCTTATAACTTTGTTCTATTGATATTTTTAGTCTTTACATAAGGATTAATGATATTAATAGAGCAAAATTAAAGATTTAGTTAAGAACAAAAAACACATAGGTACCAAATTAAAAATTGAGAGAAAGTATAGGTACCTCCAATATAGTTTTCCCATATTAATAAACAAATTGAGGAAAATGGACTTTCAGCGGCGACTTTTTTTGTCGCCGCCAAAAGTGGACTTTCGGCGGCGACTTTTTTTGTCACCGCTGAAAGTATAATATAATAATATATATTTTATTTTACAATATTAATAAACAAATTGCCGAAAATGGACCTTCAGCGGCGACTTTTTTTGTCGCCGCCGAAAGTGGACTTTCAGCGGCGACTTTTTTTGTCGCCGCTGAAAGTATAATATAATAATATATATTTTATTTTACAATATTAATAAACAAATTGCCGAAAATGGACTTTCAGCGGCGACTTTTTTTGTCGCCGCTGAAAGTATAATATAATAATATATATTTTATTTTACAATATTAATAAACAAATTGCCGAAAATGGACCTTCAGTGGCGACTTTTTTTGTCGCCGCCAAAAGTGGACCTTCAGCAGCGACTTTTTTTGTCGCCGCTGAAAGTATAATATAATAATATATATTTTATTTTACAATATTAATAAACAAATTGCCGAAAATGGACCTTCAGCGGCGACTTTTTTTGTCGCCGCCGAAAGTGGACTTTCAGCGGCGACTTTTTTTGTCGCCGCCGAAAGTGGACCTTCAGCGGCGACTTTTTTTGTCGCCGCTGAAAGTATAATATAATAATATATATTTTATTTTACAATATTAATAAACAAATTGCCGAAAATGGACCTTCAGCGGCGACTTTTTTTGTCGCCGCCAAAAGTGGACCTTCAGCGGCGACTTTTTTTGTCGCCGCCGAAAGTAGACCTTCAGCGGCGACTTTTTTTGTCGCCGCTGAAAGTATAATATAATAATATATATTTTATTTTACAATATTAATAAACAAATTCAATCTGGCTCAGCGGCAAGAAGGTTGGACACGAAGGGAGGCGGTCACGAGTTCGAACCTGGAAGAAGACACATTTAAGGTGAAAATATTTAGACGATGACGTGGCGAGGAGGAGTGACGTGGCAATGACGTGGAGGTGGCTAGTGATGATGTGGCGGTCAACGGTGATGACGTGGCCGTCAATGGCGATGACGTGGAGGTCGACGGTGCTAACGTGGCGGCCGGAGACGATGACGTGGCACCTGCGGTGATGACGTGGCATTGGTAAAGCCAATTCTTCTTAGGCATTACTTTCAGCGGCGACAAAAAAGTCGCCGCAGAAAACACTTTCGGCGGCGACAAAAGTGTCGCCGCCGAAAGTGGACCTTCAGCGGCGACTTTTTTTGTCGCCGCTGAAAGGCTTTTGAGCGGCGACAAATGTCGCCGCCGAAAGTGTTTTCGGCGGCGACATTTGTCGCTGCTGAAACTTCTAAAAGTCGCCGCTGAAAGTATCTTTTAACGGCGACCTTTTTAGTCGCCACTGAAAGTTTTCAGCCACGGCTGCTACGGCAACGACTTTTCAGCGGCGACTTGTCGCCGCAAAAAACTTTCGGCGGCGACTTTTGTACTTTTAGCGGCGACTTTTGTCGCCGCTGAAAGTCAATTTTTTTGTAGTGATTGTCTCTTGGTGTTCGTGGGAAAAGTTTTCCTCATCTTATCGTCGCAATTGAATCTGGAAAAGCTAAGATGAGAAAGAGTCTTCCCTTCCAAGTTTTTATAAGAATCAATAGCCGTAAAATGTCATTACTAAAACGTGATGTTCCTTATGCAACTGGTGCAAGTAGGGAATATGATGCCTTCTTTTTCTATGGTAAGCAAGGTCATGTGATTTCATTTGATTTACTTCAGAACTTTGATGAAGAAGAGTTGGAGGAGCTTAATAAGTTTCTGGAATCGGGTTGGAATGATGTGGACATACAAGTCATGTGTGACTCACCAAATATCTCCATAATTAAGTGTGGAGTTTATGTCGATAAGCAGCAAACGAGCATGGAGAATATTCGCTTTGTGTTTCCTAGGGCTTTCATGAATAATGCTTCAAGAACCTCACTGAAACGAAAATCCATAGCTTCTCCTCTTCATGCACCAGCCAAGAAGCTCTTGAGACATTTCAAGGCTGCTGATAAGGGACAACTCAGTAACACCAAGAAAGGGACCAAGTAAGCCTCTATTCTCTTCTGCTAGTTGTCGTCTATTTATTTCGAGGTTTTTGCTTATTATTAATTTTGTCTGCCTTGTATGTATTGTAGTTGTAGGAGAAGAAAACGACACCGAGTTTTTCGTTCGTGGTACAAGACGCTCTATCCAAGGGGCAAGCATTTTTGGAGATTTCTTTACTATTAGCTCTCTATAATTGCTGGCTTCTCCTATCAAAGAAAGAGGTTGTTTTTTTTCTTTTTATATATACATGATTGTTGATTTCGATGGCAAGAGTATTTTTTAAAGACATTGTCAGAAAATTTAACTTATCTATGTTAATTGGGTCTTAATTAGGGCGACAAAAATTATCTAAACTACGTGAGTTCTAGGGTGGGGGGACGTAAATACTCCTCCTTGAATTTCTAGAACTTTCAGTTTCCCTCTTTACCCCTCTTCACTTCCTAGACACTCTGAAACAGGGTGACTCCTCACCAATGAACAAAAAACCGGACCGGACCGGCCGGTTCAAATCGGAAACCGGTGAACCGGTCAGTTGTCCGGTCTGGTTTAACAACAAAACCGGAAGAAAATCGAACCGGAAAGAACCGGTGCAAACCGGCCACAACCGGCCAACCCGTTGGTTTTGATGGTTTAGCCGGGTTGTTTGAAAGAAGAAGAAGAATCTGAGACTGTTTCCCGCACACAAACAAAAAAAAATTGACTGAAGAAGAAGAAAAACAGAAATAAAAAAATGACTGTTTTCTTCAGTTCCTCTGGTTCTGCATGTTCGTTCTGTAAATAAAAATAAAATTTATTCTCACCCTTCTGGTTCTGCGACTACATCTGAACGGAGGTAAGGAAGGATGAAGGTATGAAAACGAAATAAAGAAGAGGGGAACGTCTGAACGAAGAACGAAGAACGAAGAACGAAGAACGAAGAAATACTGAAATGGAGAGAAGAAGGAGAGTAAGAGAGAGAGCTATAAGAGCACGTGAATGCCTGATCCATCACGTACAAGGTGTGAAAAGGCTGAATGATGAAAGGAAATGATAAAAAATGTGAAGTGGTTCAACCGGAGAAACAGATCTTGAGAAATGTGAAAACTTAAAATTGAAAGTTGAATAAAAAATTAGATTTCCACACGGTCCAAGTTTCCCACGCAAAACCATTGTACAGGAATAGATGGATTTGACTAATGAGTACTTCTACCATATTATTTACTATATATATATAATTTCTTAAATATATCTTTTATTTTATATATTTTTCTTCATATCTTTATTTTAATTTCTATTTAAAATAGTTAATATATAATTTAAAACATAGCATTTTAATTATTACCGGTTTTATTACGGGTTGATCCCGATCTAACTCATTAACCCTTAACCCAGTATCTTGACCGGTTTAATTACCGGTCCAGTTTTTTGTTCCTTGCTCCTCACCAGACAGAGCATGTTGGCTCTTCCACCTACAAGTGTACTTTTTGGGAATGGGTTGAGATACAATTTTGACCCTGATCGTAGAGGTAAAATTGCATAATTAGGAGCATAATTATACCTTAACCTTTTGAGAATGGAACGTCAGCTGATTACCACTGCCGCCAACACTAGTTGATGTTTAATGCTCTTTTATGTAGTATCAGTTGGTACTAAATACGAGTTATTTGAAGGGACAATTTTTTAATTTTATTTTTATTTAATTTTTATTGGAATGAGAGAAAAAATAGATGGGAGAATAATTCGTAAATATAATAAGAAAAAATTTGAAATATTTTATCAATTTAAGATATAATTAGTTGTCATTTTTCAGCATATAAAATGAGCAGAACCGGACTGGCAATGATAAATTGCTTTCAAGCCCAAAATATGGTTATGCCCGAAACTAATATTTCTTGGCTTTTATTCTAAATAAAGTTGCCTTGGCTACCTGCAAAAAAATTTTTTTAAAAAAAATAGTATCCAATCATGAATATTCCTCCAATCACATAACTCTTATTTAATTAATTTGTAGAGATTGAGAAAACTAACTAAATTACTCAATTTTAATAAAATTGACATGATATTTTAAAAATACTTTTATCTCCGCTCATCAATATATAAGCTAACTAGAGGGTTCGATTTGATTCTAAATATAAGAATTTAATTTACTTTGTTTCCATAATTTGTAACCATTCCTATAAAATATCTCTTATATTGATTGTAAAGAGCTTTTCACTACAGGTAATTCTAATGCACCTAACTCAATAGAGCAGTTTAAAAAGTCAGCATGTACTTATTACAATTAATCAATTTAATTAATCTTTAATTTTTTTAAATTATTTTTTTTTTTTATATTAAAAACTGAACGTACTAGAGTAATATTTTTTTTGGGGTCAAGTTAGTATATCAATTAACAAATTAATTAAAAAAATTATTCTTTTATTTGGTACTCGAGTAGGCAGCTTCGTAAAAGATTCTTTTCAATTTCATAAACTCGCCTGCCGGCGCGCTGGAAACCCGAATTCCAACGGTAGGTACTGGGCTGCATGCCTTTAAATACTTCCCAGATAATTAAATAGAACACGCAAAATTCCAAAGATGCAATTGCAAGGTTGGCAATTTTTTTTGTAAAACTAATAATCCAACGCTGCAATCCCTCCACTCATGGGAAAAAAAAATCACGCTCTCTCCATCTGCCTGAGCAAAAAAAGGAAACCATCAAAGGCTTGCTCTGCCTTTGCTGATTCATCGTTTGTGTAAATTTCTCTTCCAGGTTTGAGTATTCAAATCCCAATACCTCGCTAGCGTTTTGTGATTGTTGCAGGCACGGCGATTCGAATGGCAGCACCATCATCGGCTGTCTTCGCCGGCAAATCCAAGTACAGATATGACGTTTTCCTCAGTTTCAGAGGCGAAGATACTCGCCACTCCTTCACTGTTCATCTCTACGATGCTCTGCGCCGGAAGGGAATCAACGCCTTCATTGACGACAAGAAGCTTGGGAAAGGGGAGCGTATCTCACCTACGCTTCTTAAGGCCATTGAGAAATCCAGAATCTCGATTATTGTGTTCTCTAGGAATTATGCAACTTCCACATGGTGCCTCGATGAACTCGCTCACATCATTCGGTGTAAGAAGGAGAAGAACCAACTGGTCATGCCCGTATTTTACAATGTGGATCCGATGGATGTTCAATATCAGAGGAACAGCTTTGGAGATGCCATGGCTGCTCTGGAAGATAGATTCAGAGATGACTTGAAGAAAGTGCGAAAATGGAGATCTGCTTTGTCTGAAGCTGCTAGTTTGCCATCAGCATGGCTTTTGGGAGATGGGTAGGCTTCGTTATAGTTGTTTCTAATTGCCTTCTGCGGATGAAACATTCAAACTCTTGCTTAATAATTAGTGGTTGCGGATGATATGACAGGCTTTTGAAGATATATGAAATTTTGATCGGCGTCTATTATTCTTGGATCTCTGTAAACTTGGGGCTTAAACATTTTGGTTTTAATAATGTTCAAGTTTCAGATATTTCGACAAAAAGATTTTTAATTTAAATCTTAACTGCATATTTTTATTGATTTTCTTACTTATATTTTATTTAGTAATTTGCTAATATAATTATCGCGGGATGGGTGAATGGCTGGGGACAAACAGCATCTAACTATCTATTATTACTGTCAGTTGCTCACAAATATTTTCATCTTTGCAATTTTCAAATCCTGATGTTACTTCTAATTCTGGTTGTAACACAACACTATATAGGACATTCATATCTGACTACATAACGAATACACTTCTTTTCTTTTTGGCTTATGTACAAGAAGAATGAGATATTCTATTTTTTGCTTGTTTTTTATATATATTATATATTTGGCCTTGATGATGACCTTTTTAATTTACTTAAAAGGTAATATTATTATGGCCGCATATATCTCATAATTTTTTAATTTCAAATATAAATACTTTTATATAGTGAAGGGATTTGAAAATTGAGAGCTAATTGAGATTGAGGTTATCTTTGAAGAATTAAACGAGATTTTACTTGACGGAGTTATGATAAATGAGAAAAAAAATGGAAAATGGCATTTTGCAACAATCAGATCCACAATAACCAGAGAATCTGCACTTTTGTAGAGATGGATGTGGGTTTATTGAAAAGATTGTTGAAGATGCATATGCTATGTTACCTCCTAAACGCTTGCATTGCCGTGAGTACATGGTTGGACTTGGGCCTCGCATAGAAATGATGAAGTCACTTTTGGATCATTCTAATGATGGCATTTGTATGTTGGGGATTTATGGAACTGGTGGAGTTGGAAAAACAACCCTTGCAAAGGCTTTGTATAATTCAATCTTCTACCAATTTGAAGGCGCGTGTTTTTTGTTTGATGTTAGAGAAGTGTCAAAGAAATACCAGGGCATTGTTCATCTTCAGCAAACATTATTATCAGAGATTCTTGGGGAAAAGAAGACAAAGTTTGGCAGTGCTGATGAAGGAATATCTAGAATAAAACACAGGCTCTCTCACAAAAGAATCCTATTGGTTCTTGATGATGTTGATGAGGTTGAACAGTTAGAAAAACTAGCAGGTGGGCGTCATTGGTTTGGTTGTGGAAGCAAGGTCATTATAACAACAAGAAATAAACAGTTGCTAGTTGTGTGTAATGTTGAGAAAACATATGAAATGAAGAGGCTAGATGATCATGACTCTCTTGAACTCTTTTGCTGGCATGCATTCCGTTTGAGCCAGCCTCCAAAAGGCTATGAAAAAATGTCCAAACGTGTGATGAGATTTGCAAAGGGCCTTCCTTTGGCTTTAAGAGTAATTGGCGCCAATTTGGCACATAAAAATTTAGAGGAATGCAGGTCTATATTAGAACAATATGAGAGGATCCCAGAAAGAACAATTCTAGATGTACTCAAGATAAGCTATGATTGCTTACAAGATGGTGCCAAGGGTATTTTTCTAGATATTGCTTGTTTCTTTAAAGAGGAGGATTTGGAATCTGTTGAAGAAAAACTAGCAGCTTGCGATTTTGGTGCAAGGTTTTACATTGAAGTTCTTGTTGACAAGTCTCTTATAACTGTTGCTGATAACGGTAACTTGGGCATGCATGATTTAGTACAACAAATGGGTAGAGAGATTGTTAGGCAGGAGGCACCATCAAATCCCTGTAAACGCAGTAGATTATGGCATTACAAAGATGTTCTTAAAGTATTGCGTGAAAATCTAGTAAGGATCTAATTCTTGTTTTTTCTTCATATAGTCATATGCATTAAATCTATTGTGCTATTTTGCAATATCTAACTGTTATGCCTTGGACTTCCATTATAGGGGAGCAGTAATATTGAAGGAATAATGCTTGATCCGCCTCAACAAGAAGAAGTGGAGTGGAGTGGTATGGCCTTTGAGAAGATGAGTAATCTCAGGATTCTTGTGGTTCGGAATTCACAATTTTCAACCAACCCAAAGTATCTTCCAAGTAGTTTAAGATTGCTTGACTGGGCGGGATACCCTTCTACTATTCTACCACCAGACTTTTCTCCTAAGAAACTAGTTTACATCAAATTATCTGGTAGTCTTTTTAGATTGGAAGAGCCATTCAAGGTATTTTTTTTCAATTTATAGCTACTTCGAGAATAAACTACTTCAACTTTCCTTCTATATATATTCATTGTATATCATACACAAACCTCTAATCTATTTCATGGATCTGCACAATTATAATGTCATTTTTTTATCAGAAACTTTGTTGGTAATTAAATAATTTAGTTTTTGTTTTGCAGAGGTTTGAATGTGTGACATATATGAATTTCTCACACTGTAAATTCATAACTGAAGTACCTGATATGTCTCAATTTCAAAATTTAAGAAGATTGTTATTTACAAGGTGTCGCAATCTCATCAAAGTTCACGATTCAGTTGGATCCTTGTCTAAGCTCGTCGAATTAAACCTTAGTGTGTGCAGCAGTCTTACAAGCTTTCCACGTGAAATCAATATGGCTTCTCTTCAGAAGCTTCATCTCAGTTATTGCAGGAGTCTTGACTACTTCCCATGTATAGTGGGAAAGATGGATGCACTGAGGACAATTTATGCAGAAGGCACTGCTATTAAAGAGCTCCCACCTTCCATTGGAAATCTTCCAAGACTCGGATCTTTAGCTATAAGCACCCACAAAAGTATTAGGGAGCTTCCAAGCTGCTTATTCACATTGCAAAACCTTAGTCGGCTTAATCTAAGTGGTATTCAACCTCCAAGCATAAAATCTTTAATGAAATTAATGCAAGAGAGCCAACCTGTTATCAGCTGTTCAAACTTGGAGGCATTAAATCTTGAAAATTGTTGTCTTACTCATGAAGATCTTCACCTAGCTTTACGTTGTTTTTGGAATGTTCAAAAGTTAATTCTTTCAGGGAGCAATTTTGTTTCCCTTCCTGAGTGCATCAAAGAGTGTGCGAATCTGCAGACACTAGTGCTGAATAACTGCAAGAGGCTTAGAGACATACCTGAGTTGCCATCAAAATTGGAAAATATAGAGGCAGAGGATTGTACATCATTAACTACAGAGTCATTAGGCCATCTATGGTCTCAGGTTTTGTCATCCCTTTTGTATACTCGTTTTCTGTTGCTATTTTGAAGATTAATCAAATTAAATGCTAGTGAAATCGTCAAACAGATGCTGGTCATTTCCATTTGGGATATGGATTTCTCTATTTTCTCAAAGAAACCATTAATTCATTTCTTGTCCATTGACCACAACTTTTTCGCATGAAATCCTTCTATTACCTAGTCAGATTAATTATTTCACATTGCAAAACTTTTTTTGCACAGAATCCTTCCTTTTCCCTTTTTTCCCTTTATCTATACACAAAATAATGTACTAGTCAATAGATTGCTGAGTTGAACTCTTCTGCTTAGATGTCACCAGTTGTGAACTATTTCATGAACTCAAGTCATCACTGGAGCTTATTATCAGGGAGGGTTAAGAACATATTGGCATTCTGTTAGGAATAAAATTGAAGTTTTGAAAAGGTTAAATTCAATGAATGCAGGATTAAGCCATTTGAAAATATCTATAAATGATTAAATTAAAAATGCTCGTATCTGTTAGGGATGAAAATGAGAATTCTCTTTTTATTCTTTTATCTGTTGTTTTCAAATCTGAAAATACCTTTCGTCTCTGTTGTTCTGGTACATCAGGCGAGAAACGGGTACTCCCACTTGAACATCACTATGCCATCAACAACAGTTCCTGATTGGTTCAACGAATGCTGTAAAGGAGGGACATTGTCTTTTCGGGCTCGTGGGCATTTCCCTCATGCTGCCTTTGCATTTGAGTTGGGGAAAGCAAACACAAATTCAAAACACTTTTTCCATGTTTCTGTGAGCATCAATGGTCATAAAACACAAAGGAGACAAGATGCTGCAAATTATGGAACTAGGCAAGGCCATCTGTTTTTATTTGATCTGAGAATGGCTTTTGAGCCAGGAGAGTGGGAGAGGCTTGATAGTTTACTGGAACTGGATTGGAATGATGTGGAAATAAAAGTCCTATGTCTAATCCCCCGCAAGAAAAAGAAAGTCACAAAGTTAACAGCAGAAATGCCCGTAGTTAGTTGTGGAGTTTATGTGTACAAACGGCAAACAAACATGGAGAATGTCCAGTTCGGGTCTTCTATGCTTTCCTCGAATGCTCCAACAACTTCAATGAAACAAAGAGCGGTCACTTCTCCTCCTAATGAACCACCCAAGAAGTTATTGAGAATGTTCAAGGTTGCTGATAAAGGAAAACTCAATAATACAGAAACGGATAAGGTGAGCTTCTACTTCCTGCTAGTTTTCACTTCATGGTTTTCATTATCATTCTGAAATTTTCCCCTTTCATGTATTGTAGGAGAATTAAACGACACCAGATTTGTCATCCGTCTTGCAAAAATAAAGTTGGTTTTTCCACTAGGTAAGTATATCTGTTTGGAGAGTTTTTGTAAATTCAATGAGACGAACGGTTTCTTTTTCCAATACATTACCATACGATTTGGAAATAAATGTTTATGACGAAAAGAATGTCATGTCACCGAGGCATGCCTTAGTGGCTTTATGATATGCCTGAAAGCACAAGAGCTTGGGTTCGATAATGGCAGATCTCATGTTTCATTTGCGGATGGCATTTACTATTGAAACTGCCAAAAAAAAAAAAAAAGCCTCTGGATTTGCATGGATCACAGCAAAATCTAAACCTTTTATTTAGCTGCAGGTGATGACTCTATAATTTTTTTGTTGGGGGCAGATTAGTTTTAAGAACTTCCCACATGAATCATTGGATTCTATATGGCACATGCAAAGTCCAAATCTTGCCACAGTCTACACTGCCCCTTGTGACAAGTACTGGTGGACTACCTATTAACACAATGCAAAGCTTGTAACCAACTGCCACCAAATAAACTCCCCTGTTGCTCTGCCTAATGAGTTCGATCCTTGTGATTAGTCATTGAGAATGGGATCTTGATGGGATCACAGCTCTGAAATATGTATTAATCAATAGAAAATATAGCTCCACGGAGTGTAAGTCTTATGAAGCACACATAAACAAAAGGAAACCGCTCAACTGTACATTCGAGAGGCACAGAAACTCTCCTCACAATTCACTCATCACCATTTCCCTGTCCATCCCAATAACCAGGTCCCTATTATCTCGCCCCCTTCTCTCTAACTGTCAGATGGCAAATACCACAAATACCCACACTCGCATGGTTCCCGCCCCATATCTCGATACTATCCTTGTACCCAACAGATCTCTAAAATAGAACCTACTGCATTCGTTGACTAGAATAATTTTAAGTGCTCAGTACCTCCATCATGAAATATAAGATCGCCCACTGCAATTAAGATAGTTGGGCATTCTGGCTGTCTAGGCTACCCAAGATGAGCGGTTTTGTATCCCAGCATCATGATAGACGCATGCCCATATATAGGTTCCTGAACAAATTGAAAAATCAAATTGTCTTCTGCTGTGAAACGCCTCGTCACAGATTTAGCTATTAGAGCTTTATGGGAATATTCTGTGGATTTGAAGCCCAAGCGCCCTGTATCCTTACTCTGTATTGCTTCTCTCATTTAGTAAAGTAATCTCTCTGTTTGCCATCTTCATATCAAATTTATGAAAATATATATCCGATACAAGGGAAGCTTTTGGGGAAGAAGAGTGGAAGAGGACTTTTGGAATGACGTGAAAATAGTAGTTGGAGAAACCAGATTTGGCCATAGTTACTTGTGTAGTTTATGTGAAACAAGCATCATCATCATGTATGACAAAAATGCTTAACGTTCATATACATTTCTTTCTATAGCAAATTTTCAAAACCATCTACGTAATAGCGGGCAGGCGCACAAGATTATAATTAGATTATGAAAGTTTTAATTTGGTTTCTTAAGTTTAAAAATCATATTTTTAATTTTTTAGTCTTAAAATTGTTTTAAAAAAATAATAACATTGAAATCTTAAATGTTTAAATCATTCTTAAATATTATCATATTAAGTTTAATTTTCAAAATAACTATAATTGTTATAAAGAAAAAATTATCATTTCAACCTAACGATTTTAGTGTTAGAGGATAAAAATATATATTTTTTTTAAAGTTGACGACTTAATTGAAACCTTTTTTATACAGTAAAAAGACTTTTTTAATTCCTACGACTAAACAACAACTAAATTTGAAGAGATGTGTGATATTAAAATTTGATTAATAGCGCGTCTTGCTAACTGGCTCAAAAAAATGAAGACTACACATAACCTTCCCCAAAAAGCGAACTCGAAGTGAGTAACCCACTGCTCTATTATTTTCTTTTTCTTTTCACATCATTCTTTTCAGTTTTCTTTTAATTCGGTTTCTTGAAGCATGGATCAAAATTTTAGTCAAGTGTCAACAAAATATAATGTTTTTTGAGAAGAAAAGAGAAGAAAAGGCAGCTAAAGTTGTAAATCCATGACGACCAAGACTACGCTAATTATAAGTGTGTGTGTGTGTGTGTGTGTGTTCGTTCATGGCATGCACAGCTTATTCCTAGGCCAATGTTTTTTTTTTTTCATGTTTTATTATAAGTAATCACTTTTATGTTTTATGAAATAAAACTTCTTTTAATATATTTATTTTTGTATAATTTAAAATTATTTAAAATAAGTTGCTGATCCAAAATCACACAAGTCTATAACAATTTTTTTTCTTTTTTGCAAAACTGATTCTTTTTTTTATATAATAGTATTAAATTATAAGTAAATTATGATAATTAATTTTTACCTCAACTTTATCAAGTTAATTAGTTTCAATTTCATAAACTCATCACCTAGAATTCCAACGGTAGGGGACTAGGGTGGATGACTACTGCAAATGATCCCCAAACCCAAAAGTAATAAATAAACAAACAAATGGGTCAGGCAAAATTCCAAGCATGGCAATTTCTTTCTTTTTAAATAAAATCCAACAACAAGAGATGATCCCTCCACTTTAAAAATACGCACTCTCTATGAAGAAACCTCTGAGAAGGTTGGAAAGTTTCAGAATGACTTGAAGCTTCCCACTTGCACATGCTTGTAGAGATTCGTTATTTTTTTTAATGACATTAGGCATGTCGGTAATAAAAAATTAGCATTACGAAGTCCTATACTAGTAGAAAAAAAATTCTTTTCCAGACTAACTCATCTACACAGTTTATTGCCGTAACAATGTAAAAATATGTGAGCGGTTACATTTTTATAAATATCTATAACTTTTTATATCATTCTTTATATGTTCAATAATGTGACTTGAAAATTTTTACACCGAACATCTATATGTCCACCTTAGAAGATAGTATAAATAATTAAAAAATATAAGTTGAAAGTAATACTCCTCCAGTTTTTAATATAAGTTCTATTTAACTAATTTGATTAGATTAAAGAAATTAGATAAGTTATAGAGATGATAATATGGGTTTGCCCTCCTAGCCCGCCAAAAATGGCAGGTTCGGGTTGGCCAAATGCCAGCCCGCATCTCGAGTTATCACCGTTTTCAGCCCGTTTTTCTTTCTTTTTTTCAATTTTTATTTTTATATAATTCCCAATATATTGTACAACATAATTGGAGGATTTTGACCCTTAAATTCCACATTGACATTTCTTCATTCATGTAATTGCATATGTAATATACACATAAGAGATCTACTTAATTAATTTGGATAAGAAAAGTAATCAAATTAATTATTAGAAAAAAATGTGTTAGTTTTTTTAAAATGTCTTTTCAAATTATAAATTAATCCTTACATTATTTTATTATAACCCACTACTCAAGTTTAAAACTCCAAGTCCAATTTCAACATTTCAAATTAAGCTTAAACTATACAAATAATGATAATTTTTTTATAAAAAAAATTTTAGGCGATGCTAGCCCACCAATGTGCGAGTTATTTCAGCCCATACCGCTTTCGCCCTGCACTAAGCTGGTCCGTATCTGCACCGTCAGCCCGTATTACCAGCTCTAGTAAGTTAGTTAATTATAATAAATATGACATGTTTTTTCTAAAACACCATAATCATCTTCCTTAATATTTTCCTCCTCCCTCTTTATTTGATATGTTGATAATGGTGGCATCTATAAGGGTGATTTAGGCAAAATTGATAAATATGAAAAAAAATCTTATATGTAGAAACAAAATCAACTCAACAATTAAGTTGTATATTAGAGTATAGCAAGAGTACGCAAGTTCAAAATTCAAACAACACCTAGCTATACTGCATATAATAATGGCTGGTGTAGAAATCAGCAGATAGACCTTTTTTTTTTTTGCGCGTTCGTGCGGCACAAAAAGCAACGCTTTAGTTGATATCTTCTGCAAGTCGTGTCCCTATTTCATCTGTAATCTTGTTCGTGTTGTAACCTCTCCTATTTGGAAACCCCATTCTCCATATCATCATCTCCGACCAATTCCAAACTTCTCCTACTTTTCCTCTTTGAGACCTAATTCTTTTCACCCCTTTCATTTTGTTCCACTTGTGGGGTTTCCTTTCTCTTTGGCCGTAGAATTCAAACAAAACATGCTTTGATTTCTATGTGTTTGTGTTTTAATTTCTGGGTCTTCCTGCATGCCCTACTTGTGTCCCAACAGGGTGAAAGAGTTTTTGGAGTTTGCCAAAGACAATGATGCTAGAGATAAAGGAGGTTTTTTATTGCCCTTGGGTGGAATGGGTGAATGAGGCAACCAAATCTTTCGGATATAAATACTCACTTAATCTGTTATGAGTTTGAAAGAGTTACATAGTATGGGTATGATATGGTGAAGAAGTGGAAAGGCTGCCGAGTGGATCTTAACAGGGTGAATAGGTATTTGATCATGATTATGATATGAATACCAATGATCAGAGGGTGAAGGACATGATCCATGATTGATAAGTCCCTATGTTGTGGTCTTATTTTATATCAGTTTGTGGACTTTTATCAAGTTTGGTAAGGATATAGAGAGAAAGGGAACTAAGGCCCAAAAAAATTGGGACCAAAATGAAATTTACACATGTAAAAGATTAAAGATGGTGTTTTTTTTGATCTGATGGTGTTTTCAATTATGGCTAAGTATTTCTGGAGGATTTTGCATATTCTTAGGTATCACATATTAAACGGCCAATCAATTATTAATTAACAGGAAAGAAAAGGACTTTCTATGAAAACTGAATGTTGATTTGGAAAGGCGAATCCGTTGATAATTCTCAAGCTTCATTGTTTGGTTCGCTGGAAATATTTTTGTAAGAGTAGAAAATAAATGGGTTTACAAGCATTTTTTATGTAATGGATAAAGTTACTGCCTAAAAGATTTTTTTTTTTACTTTTTTATTTTTAAAAAACTTTTTTTTCCGAAAATCCCAATAAAAGTCATAGGAAAAAAAAAGCATTCAAATGGTGATCTCGCAGCCTGGAAGACCTGACAAGATCTGTACCTCATCAGAAAATTGAACCTGATCCTCAATCTTTTGGATGCCTTTCATCCAACCATTTTTCCAATCCTTGTTGACGTGGGCAGCATTAGTCAAGAGAGCAACCAATAAGAAAGAAGGAGGTCATCTGTCCCAAGAAAATATTAATAAATCCCGCTCTTAATATAATATCCACTCTAACACAGAAATTAAACTAAGGGAGTGTTTGCGTAACAAGCAAAACCATGGTTTGGGATACAAAATCATGATTTAGGGATCCTGTCATCCAAATATCATAATTTTTTCTAAAATTATTTTTTGATAGAAAATCATGATGTCGAAAAAGGTAGCCAAACACTCATTAAAAGTAAGACTAGGAGGTAGTACCAATTTTCTTATGACAAAAAGGAGGAATGCATATCAAATAAATCGAAAGCAGGAAAGTTACCACACCGGACATTTAGTTAGGTTCTTTCAACATCTGGTCAAGGATTTGATTCCTGGTGGTGTGTATGGAAAAGATCTCATGACTAGCAATAAAGTCCATTCGAAAAGTCTACAATATGAGGAAAATAGTCAATATTATCAGTGCTGAATACCGTGGCCTCAACCTAAAAAAAATAAATCAAACCATGATTAAATTTTATATTGGACAAGATGACGAGGATGCTTTGGATTTTGTCTTGATGTTATTCCGCCACCGACAGATAATAAACTATGAAACAAGTTGATCGAAACTTGGCCCATATTTTATTATTCAACAACCCTCATTGATCAAGTCTCAGCTACTGCAAGTTAATATGTTCAACAATCCCGGAAGGGTCTCTAATTCTTTCTCCCTCCCCTTTAATAATCCATCTGACTAGTGACTACATTTTCCAACTTCCAACTTTCGGAGAAATTTGTTAATGGAGCATCAAACTCGGTGTTATGCTTTTTGCCGATTCACCGCTTTTTGTATAAATTCCTCTGCCTATTTAGAGTATCCAAATCCCAGTACCTTTCTACCGTTCAGAGATTAATCCCACCATGGCCATTCAAGTTTCATCCCATAGCTTCACCGGCAAACGCAAATACAGATTTGATGTTTTTTTGAGTTTCAGAGGCGAAGATACTCGCCACACCTTCACTGTGCCTCTCTACAATGCTTTGCGGCGTAAGGGAATCAATGCCTTCATTGACGACAAGAGGCTTGGAAAAGGGGAAGAGATCTCACCCACGCTACTTAAAGCAATTGAGAGATCAAGAATTTCCATTATTGTGTTCTCTAAGAACTATGCTACTTCAACATGGTGCCTAGAGGAACTCGCTCATATCATTTGGTGTCAGAAGCAGAACAAACAGCTGGTTATGCCAGTCTTTTACAAGGTGGATCCCATAGATGTTCAATATCAGAGAAATAGCTTTGAAACAGCCATGGCTGCTTATGAAGATAGGTTCGGAGATGACCCAGAGAAAGTGCAGAAATGGAGGTTTGCTTTGTCTGAAGCAGCTTCTCTGTCAAAAGCCTGGCTTTTTGAAGATGGGTATGTTTTCGATTATTCTACTTTCAAATTGCTGCTGATGGAATTTTCGAATTATTTATTACTGGTAGCTCATATGATGTAACAAACTACTGTTGAAGATGTTCGGAATTTGACCGGTGATTATTGCCCTTACAGAATGATTAATCTACTAAGTACTAAGCTTGAGGTCTTTTTCTTTTCTTTTTTTTGGTTCTGAAAATAATTTATAATTTAAGGGGTTTTTTCCTTCCAAAAACCTTGTTGATAGAGTTTTCAACTGTAACATTTTATTAATTTTTCTTAATCAAATAATAGAAATTTTTTATTAAAAAAAATTGGTCATTGCTGATATCAGATCCATAGAACTCTGACGTGAAAACTTATCCCCATATTATTATTATGTGATTTCTTGCTTATAAGTCACCATTACAATACAGAACTATTCATTGCAAGAAATCTCGAAGGATTGATTCCATTGTTTGTAGTAGCTATTTATTGTTTTTATATTATATGTGTACACACACATACAATATATGTGACTATAAAATCCAATATTAGAATTATGAACAAATTCAACATGTTTTCTTGTATATTGTATGAATCTAAAGAATGAATGTTAGTAACGGCTTGATATAGATTTTGTATTTCAAATTGACTACGAAATTTTATTTAATATTAATACTTAAAAATTTAAATTTTGTTCTAGTTTTATTCTTTTAGATTTATTTTTCTTTACACCTAATACTCTATTATTTATACGGTGAAGGGATAAAAATTTTTTTGAGAGCTTATTGATTTTGAGGTCATGCGTATTTTAAGAATCATAATAAGGAGGCATATAAAAATACTACCTCTAGTCATAAATATAAGATCTCGTTTATAGATTATAAATGAGATCTTATATTTATGACTAGAGGTAGTATATGATGAGAAAACAAAAGAAAAGAATGACATTATACTCGCATGAATCATCTTCTTAGTAAAAAGAGATATAATTTCCTCTTTTGTAGCTATGAATTTGGGTTTATTGAAAGGATTGTTAAAGATGCATATGCTATGTTGCCTCCTAAACGCTTACATAGTCCTGGGTACATGGTTGGACTTGAGCCTCGCGTGGAAGAAGTGATTTCACTTTTAAATCAATCCAATGACAGAGTTTGCATGTTGGGCATTCATGGAACTGGTGGAATTGGCAAAACAACACTTGCAAAAGCTGTCTATAATTCAATGTTTTACCAATTTGAAGGTGCATGTTTTTTGTTTGATGTCAAAGAAGCAACAAAGAAATACCAGGGCATCGTTCGCCTCCAACAGAAACTTCTATCAGAGATTCTTGGGGAGAAGATTATGATGATTGGGAGTGTTGATAAAGGAATGTCAAGAATAAAACATAGACTTTCTCACAAAAGGGTTCTTTTGGTTCTTGATGATGTTGATGAGGTTGAACAGTTAGAACAACTTGCGGGAGGATGCGATTGGTTTGGTTTTGGAAGCAAAGTTATTGTAACAACAAGAAATAAGCAAATGCTAGTTATACACAATATTGGAAAAATATATGAAATGATGAAGCTGAATGAGTATGACTCTTGTGAGCTCTTTTGTTGGCATGCCTTCCAAATGAACCAACCTCCAATAACCTATCAAGATATGTCTAGTCGTGCAATGAGTTATGCACAAGGCCTTCCTCTTGCATTAAAAGTAATAGGCTCCAATTTGGCAGATAAAAATTTAGAGGAATGGAAGTTTATGATGGAACAATATGAAAGGATCCCAGAAAGAACAATTCATGAGCTTCCAAAGATAAGCTATAATTTCTTACAAGCTGGTGCTAAGCATATTTTCCTAGATATTGCTTGTTTTATTAACAACGAGATGATGAGATCTATTAAAGAAATTGTAGAAGCTTGTGATTTTGGTGCTAGGTTTTATCTTGAAGTTCTTGTCGACAAATCACTGATAACTTTAGTTGATGGTGGTAATTTTTTTTTCATGCATGATCTAATACGATAGATGGGAAGAGAGATTGTCAGACAAGAGGCACCATTAAATCCTGAAAAGCGCAGTAGATTATGGTATTACAAAGACGTTCTTAAAAAACTGCGTGAAAATCTAGTAAGAATCTAAACTATGTTTGTCTCTTCATACAAAAATATATACATTAGACTTGTTGTGATATACTACGTGGCAATATCTATTAATGATACTTCTTTTAATCTTCACTATAGGGATGCTATAATATATTCTTTTTGGTGATATAGGGATGCAATAATATTGAAGGAATAATGCTTGATCCTCCAGAACAAGAGGAAGTAAACTGGAATGGTACGGCCTTTGAGAAGATGAATAATATTAGAATTCTTGTTGTTCGAAATGTTCAATTTTCAACTGGCCCTACCTATCTTCCTAATAGTTTAAGGTGGCTTGAATGGGAGGGATACCCTTCTGCAACTTTGCCAAAAGATTTTTATCCTTCAGAGCTAATTTTCTTGAAGTTGCCTAGAAGCTCTTATAGACTAAGAGAGCCATGCAAGGTACTTTTTAAAATAATCTTTTATAGCTATTTTCTCAGTCAAATTTCTCTCTTTTCCTTGTTGGCCTGCCAAATTTCTTTAGCTGTAAATTTTCATCTTAAAATCAAGAATACTCATGCTCCGTGTTATTCTGGTTTAAATAAGTTTGACATAGTTGTTATAAAATTGAATAGTGTATTCTGTTTTATAGTCTCATATATATGCTTCAAAAACATATAAATGTCTTTTATATTTTGAAAGCATATGCTTTAATACATTTGCTAATACTAATCATAAAACACATTTCACAATATTCTGTGAATAATTAACAACCCAGTATGGTCTTCGAAACATTGCTGTCTGGAAAATGTATCAAGTAAAACAAATTTCTAGGACTCACTATAAAAATTTCGAAACAAATTTGAACTATCTGACTTTAAACTAGACAATAATCCATATAATGGATTTGCATAATTTTAGTAATTTGGACGATCTAATTAAATAGTATTGTATCTGTTTTGTAGGTTGTTACTAGCTACGTGACCCATTTGGATTTTTCATTTTGTGAATTCATAACTGAGGTACCTGATATATCTCAATGTCAATGTTTACGAAGATTGGGTTTGGCATTCTGTGACAATCTGATAAAAGTTCATGATTCATTGGGATCCCTCCCCAAGTTGATGATTTTAGATGCAAGAAAATGCACCAAACTTTCTATTTTTCCACGTGAAATGAAGATGGCATCACTTGAAGATCTTATTCTTACAGCATGCGAGAGTCTTGAGTACTTCCCGCATGTCGTGGGAAAGATGGATGCACTAAAGCTGATTTCAATAGATGGCACTGCTATTAAGGAGCTTCCGCCTTCACTTGAAAATCTTTCAGGGATTCGATATATATATATGTCCTCCTGCACAAGTCTTGGGGAACTTCCAACCAGCTTATTCAGGTTGCCAACTCTGGAGGTTCTTGATTTCGGGGGCGTTCATCCTCATAGCAGAAGGTCTTGGATGAAGTTAATGCAAGATATGCAACCAATTGTCGGCACCTGTAATATGAAGAGATTATATCTCATGAATTGTGGTCTGTTGGATGAAGAACTTCACCTAATTCTGAACCGTTTTCGAAATTTGCGAGAGTTATATCTATCGGGGAATGACTTTGTGTCACTCCCTAGGTGCATTAAGGAGTGCACGAATCTTTGGAAGCTAAACGTGAGTGATTGCAAGAGGCTAAGAGACATACCAGAGTTGCCGCCAGAGTTGTTTCAAATTGAAGCAGTGAATTGCACATCATTGACTGCAGAATCATTGGACAACTTATATTCTCAGGTTTTTTCTTCTTGTTCTTGTCGATCTATTCTCTCTTTCTTTTTCCATTTCAAACGTTAATAATCAGAATAAGTCAATCCCACCAACCCAACACTTCGCCTGTGCAAGATAACAATCCATAAAACATTACAAAAAATTGACTTTTAGGGAGTGTTTGGATAAAAACCAAACCATGGTTTCAGAAGTGCTTTTACGGATTACGAAGTAAATATGTGGAGGAGGTTACCTCGTTTTGCGGAAAAGTGCTTCTGAAACCACGGTTTTGGAGCATCCAAATAGAGCCTTAGTGCTGCTGAAAGCTTTTAGTAATGACAGCCAAGTCGTTGTTACTCATCAGCGGCGACAAAATGAGCCGCCGCTGAAAGGTAATGGAAGTGATGAATTTCTTGAGATCCTGTCATGGTTAAAATCTGAGAACGCATTTGGTCTATCTGCTGTTTTGGTAAATCAGGCAAAAAAGGAGTTGGCTGACTTGACAATCCAAGTGACAGCAACAACATTTCCTGATTGGTTCAACTATTGCTGCGAAGGTGGCACATTGTGTTTTCGCGTTCGTGGGAATTTACCTCGTGGTGTTCTTGCATTTGAGATTGCCAGGAAGGCGAACATGAGCAGGGAAAAGACCCACTTCCCAGTTTTTATGAGCATCAACGGTGTCCAAATAATGAAACAAGATTTTGATTATAAATGGCAAATTCTTGCTCAACAAGGTGACTTGTTATTATTGGACGGATTCATGCAATTTACGGAAGAAGAGCAAAGGCACGTGAACAAGTTTATGGGGTTGGATTGGAATGAGGTGAAAATACATATGACTCGCTCACCAGATACATCCATAGCCAAGTGTGGAGTTTATTTCTACAAGGAAACAAACATGGAGAATGTGCAGTTCAAGTCTTCTCATGCTTCAACAGCCTCACTGGAACAAAGAGTTATGGCTTCTTCTCCTAATTATGAACGACCCAAGAAGATCCTCAGAACAAACTGATATACAGAGGAAAACCCAGTAACACAAAGAAAGGGTCAAGGTGAGCATCTTCTTTCTACGCACGTACTAATTGTCATTTCATGGATTCTCTCTGTGTTTTTTTTTTTTTTAACTACTAATATCACTTTCCCTTTCATGTATTGCAGGACACTTAAGTAACACCATACTTTTCATTCGTGCTACAAGAGAAAGATGGTTTTTCCCAATTAATAAGCTTTTTTGGAGATCTCTGTATCATTAGTTATCAAATAATTATTAGACAATTGTTAGTTACATGTGGCACTAAATACGAATGAAAATAATAAAGACTTTATGAATGCCCCTTCCCGTTTTATGTAAAGGGCATCTGCTTCTAAAAGATGCTTTTGATAATGTTTTTCAAGACATTTGGCAATTTTTTGGAGTACGAAATTTTTTTTTAATATTTGCCCATATTTACTATGAATAGTAGAGAGAGGGGAAGTTTATATTATGTTGGAGTTTAGTGTACTTCATACATATATTATTGAAAATTACTAATTAATGCTTTTTTTTTCAGTATACGTAGAATTAATTTAAAATGCTTATACTAGGCACTGTAGGGATTAGATGATGAATAAATAGAATATTTTAGGCTGGACAGTTAATTGTGAAGCTACTATTAGGACTTGTATCCATATCATTGGGCTTATTTGCTTCTGTCTTAACACTCCCTAATATGTCTATTTATAACAACAACAACAACAAAATGAACGCCGATCCTTCCGCTTAAAATTTCAAGCAATCTGAGGCATAGAAAAACCATTATTCAAAAAGTCATCTAGAAATCTAAGGTTCAAAACATCTATACTACACAAACTTTATTCTCAAACTTCAGCCAGGCCCCTCCTAATATACAAGTTCAAGTATCTTCAAGTCACTTTTAGCCTGAGACTAATAGCTCTGTTGAGCCAGGAGCGTTAAGGCTAAAGCTCTTTTAAATAAATATGCTTCCCACTACTTGACCATTACTAAAACACTGTTTCAGCAAATCCAATGCTTGAGGACCGCTTATTATTATGGTATTTCTTTTATTTATTACAATACGGTTCGTTTTTCAATGTACCTTAAAAAAAATTTCCACCATCAACTCACTTTTGAAATGGCCTCGAAAATAAAACAGAATGGTGTAAGGGACTGAAAAAATAAAATAAAACAAATATTTCCTTCATAATCAATATTTTAATAAAATGTTGCAGGTAAGTATCAAGTGAAGTGGTGGCCTGATGGAAGAGAAGTGGCGCTTGTTGCGTACTTTTGAGTGTTGAGTTCAAAGCCCCTTTACTTAAAAATGATGATGATAATCATAATAAAGCAGTTAGTAGAAACAGAGGAAGATTTTCATAGTCGGTCAGCGTTTTGCTCTCGTCTTCCTGGGTACTGCTATTTCTTCACCTCACCGATGCTTATCCATCTGGTCTGGCGTTGAACGTGGAAGGGAGGAGAGAATTTGGGAGTTCTGCTTAGTATAAAGCATTAATTGAAGGAGAAGATCTACTTGGATGGGTATTCTATTTTATTTTGGAAAATAAGTGTGCTGGGTATTATATATGAGGATTACTCTCTGGTATGAATTAAATTTTGTGTTCAGATTGGTACTTTATCTATGATTGGCACAATTAGTTTTGAATCTCATGTAGGAACTTTGCAACAGCATCACTTATATGCTTTCATTCTATAGAGCGAATAAGCACCTTGGAATTTGCCTCCATGGTTGCCAATAACTAGAATAAAAAAAATATAAAGAATGGAAAAATAAGAGGACACGAATTAAAGGCAATCAAGACGTGATCTTGATAAACATATTTGTCGAGCATTTGTAGATTGCAAGAATCTTGATATTTTGTTTTCCTATATTTCATATTATTTCATAAATGTCTCAGTATAGGGACTAATATTCCAGGACCCGTAAGCTTTCAGTTATAATATTTAAGCTTTCAGGAACATGGAAGTGCATCAATTCATTAAGGGCATGTTTGAAATAAAAGAGGAATCTGATTCAAAGCAACATGGATTCTTACCCAATCTGAACCTTTTTTTTTTCCTCCGTATTAAGCCTTCACGTGTCATTCATGGACACATTTTGGGAATATGGAATAACTTGAATGTTAAGGTGGAACAATTATCTAAATCCTGCGGAGAGGGTCACATTCTTAAAAAGAAAATAAAATAAAGTTGATCTTCTCTATTAATATTAAATTTTAATGAAATAAATGATATTGAAAAGAAACTAAATGAGAAGAAAACTAGACTAAAAATATAGTTATTGCAGAGAAATTTTGTTGGATAAGTAAAGGAGTTGATATTTATTTTGATTGTAAATTAAAGAAAATGTATGGCATGTCATCGTGGTTGATAGTTAATGGCTTCGGTATTATTATTATTACTGTTATTATTATTTTCACATATATATAAATAAATAATGCCTTTATGATGAAGTTTCTGAAGGTTTTATAAAATTTGCCATATATTTTATTTGAGAAAACTTTTCTGAATTGAAAGAAATGATTTCGTATATTATGCTATATTAAAGCTGAGTTGACGTTAAATTCGACTTATGCATTTGTTGTAAATAGAAGTTGATCCACAAATTTTGTAAACATGATAATCGCGTCCTTGATTTTTCGGTTCAATGCATGGGAATGATTGGTATGAACGCAAATTATCGAAACATCGAGAAAGACTAGTCTTAACACGCTTTATAGTAACTTTTCGGCTAAGTGTGAAGAGCATATATACTTCGTCGACAATAAAATAAAATAAACACTCACCGTTTCTTCCTCCTCTCTAACATTCCAATCTGACTGAACTTTCCAAATTCGAACTTTCAGATAAATTTTTTAATGAAGGATCAAACGCGGTGTTATGCCTTTTTTCAAGTTCACCACTTTCGCATAAATTTCTCTGCCTTGCTAGAGCATTCAAATCCCAATATCTGGCCACCATTCAGAGATTATTGGAGCCATGGCTATTCAAGTTTCATCCCATAGCTTCACCGGCAAACCCAAATACAGATTTGATGTTTTTCTGAGTTTCAGGGGCGAAGATACTCGCCACACCTTCACTGTGCCTCTCTACAATGCTTTGCGGCGTAAGGGAATCAATGCCTTCATGATGACAAGAGGCTTGGTAAAGGGGAAGAGATCTCACCTACGCTTCTTAGAGCCATTGAGAGATCAAGAATTTCCATTATTGTGTTCTCTAAGAACTATGCTACTTCCACATGGTGCCTAGAGGAACTCGCCCATATCATTTGGTGTCAGAAGCAGAAGAACCAGCTGGTTATGCCCATCTTTTACAAGGTGGATCCGTTGGATGTTCAGTATCAGAGAAATAGCTTTGAAACAGCCATGGCTGCTCTTGAAGATAGGTTCAGAGATGACTTGGGGAAAGCGCGGAAATGGAGGTTTGCTTTGTCTGAAGCAGCTTCTTTGTCAAAGGCCTGGATTTTTGAAGATGGGTACGTTTGATTATTCTATTTTCGAATTGTCTGCAGATGGAACTTTAGAATTCTTTATTACTAGTTGCTCCTGAGAAACAAACTACACTGTTGAAGATGTTTGCAATTTTGATGGGTGGGCCTATTGCTCTTACAGAATTATTAATCTACTAAACTCGTGGTCTTAACTTTTTTCCCTTGAATATTTAAAATTTTTATTTTTTGGTTCTGAAAATAATTTATGATTTGAGAGTTTTTTTTTTAAAAGGTTGTTGATAAAGTTTTCAAATGCAAAATTTTATTAATTTTTCTTGATGAAATAATAGAATTTTTGTAAACAATTAGCCATAAATTTCTGAGCTGAAAACCTATGCTGCCCTATTATTGTTATGCTATTGCTAATATCAAAACTGGATCCATAAATTTCTGAGATGAAAACCTATGCTTCCCCATTATTGTTATGTGATTTTGTTCTCAAGAATGGAATAAGTAGTCAGAGTTTCTGAGGTTGCATAAAAATTTTATATTTAAGTTTCCAATCGATTTCTTACTTATAATTCATCTTTACAATAATGCAGATCTATCCATGGCACGAAATCTAAAGATTGAATTCCAATTTTTGTAGTAGCTATTCAGCGTTCTTATATGTTATACCACCTTCTCTACTTAATATAAGAGCTAATTGAGGAGCTGGATTTGATCTTAAATATAATACCTCAATTTATTTTGCCTTCTACCTTTTCACAAAATATCCCTATTGATTGTTAGAGGTAAGAGGTATACCAAGAGATAATTCTAATAATCTATTGCATATAATTGAAGAGGCTAGTTTAGGAAGACTAACACGCATTTGTGACAAATAACTAACAATTAATTTTTTTAATATTTTAAAATTAATTATCTAACTCTTATATTAAATAACTTATATAATGTATACTAGATGTGGCTACAAAATTTATTATTAGAAGTATGAACAAATTCAAAATATCTTCCTATATATAGTATACGGAACATAAAGAATGAATGTTTGTATGGCTCTTGATACAGATTTTATATTTCAAGTTGACTACGAATTTTTATTTAAAAATTTGAATTTTGTTCTAAATTTATTCTTTTATATCCATTTTTTATGACTAATTCTATTTTATTTATACAGTGAAGCGATGAAAAATCTGTGAGAGCTAATCGATTTTGAGGTCGTGTATATTTTAAGAATCAAAATAAGAATACGTATATAAAAATTTATGATAAGAAAACAAAAGAAAAGAATGACAAGCATTTGATATGCATGAATAATCATCTTTGAAATACAATTTTCTCTTTTGTAGGTACGAAATTAGGTTTATGGAAATGATTGTTAATGATGCATATGCTATGCTGCCTCCGAAAAAATTACATAACATTGGGTACATGGTTGGACTTGAGCCTCGAGTGGAAGAAGTGATCTCACTTTTGAATCAATCCGATGAGAGAGTTTGTATGTTGGGGATTCATGGAATTGGTGGACTTGGCAAAACAACCCTTGCAAAATCAGTCTATAATTCAATCTTCTACCAATTTGAGGGTGCATGTTTTTTATTTGATGTTCAAGAAGCATCAAAGAAATATCTAGGCATGGTTCGCCTCTAACAAAAACTTCTATCAGAGATTCTTGAGGAGAAGACTATGATGATTGGGAGTGTTGATCAAGGAATATCAAGAATAAAACATAGACTTTCTCACAAAAAGGTTCTTTTGGTTCTTGATGACGTTGATGAGGTTGAACAGTTAGAAAAACTCGCGGGAGGGTGTGATTGCTTTGGTTTTGGAAGCAAAGTCATTATAACAACAAGAAATAAGCAATTGCTAGTTGCACACGATGTTGAAAAAACGTATGAAATGATCAAGTTGAATGAGTATGACTCTGGTGAGCTCTTTTGCTGGCATGCCTTCCAAATGAACCAACCTCCCTTAACCTATCAAGATATGTCTAGTCGTGCATTAAGTTATGCACAAGGCCTTCCTCTGGCATTAAAAGTAATTGGCTCCAATTTGGCAAATAAAAATTTAGAGGAGTGGAAGTCTATATTGGAACAATATGAAAGGATCCCAGAAAGAACAATTCATGAGCTTCTAAAGATAAGCTATAATTGCTTACAGGCCGGTGCTAAGCGTATTTTCTTAGATATTGCTTGTTTTGTTAACAAAGAGATGATGGGATCTACTAAAGAAATAGTAGAAGCTTGTGATTTTGGTGCTAGGTTTTATCTTGAAGTTCTTGTTGATAAATCTCTAATAACTTCAGTTCCTGGAGATGATGACTTTTTCATGCATGATCTAATAAGACAAATGGGAAGAGAGATCGTCAGACAAGAAGCACCATTAAATCCTGAAAAGCGCAGCAGATTATGGTATTACGAAGATGTTCTTAAAGTACTAAGTGAAAATTTAGTAAGAATCTAAACCATGTTTGCCTCTTCATACAATAACATATATTGCAATACCTTTTAATTTCATTTCTCTTAATCTTCATTATAGGGATGCAATAATATTGAAGGAATAATGCTTGATCCTCCTCAGCAAGAGAAAGTAAAATGGAGTGGTATGGCCTTTGAGAAGATGAATAACCTTAGAATTCTTGTTGCTCGAAATGTTCAATTTTCAACTGGTCCTGCCTATCTACCCAATAGCTTAAGGTGGCTTGAGTGGGAGGGGTATCCTTCTGCAACTTTGCCAAAAGATTTCTCTCCTTCAGAATTAATCTTCTTGAAGTTACCTGGAAGTTCTTTTAGACTAAGAGAGCCATCCAAGGTACTTTTTAGAATACTCACAGTTATTTTTCTGTCGAATTTCTTTCTCTATTTCTTGTTAGCCTGCCAAATTTCTTTAGCTGTAAATATTCATTTTAGAATCAAGAATAATCATGCTCTGTATGATTCTGATTCAAATAAGTCTGATATAGTTGTCATAAAATTAAGTAGTTTTTTTTTTTTTTTATAGACGTCTCATATATATGTTTCAAAAACATGCATATGTCGTTTATACTTTGCAAGCATATACTTTAATACATTTGTGAATAATGATTATAAAACACATTTCACATAATATTCTCTGAATAATTAACAACCCAGTGTGGTCTTGGAAACATTGACGTCTAGAAAATGTATCAAGTAAAACAAATTTCTAACTCTTACTTTAAAAAGTTCGAGGTGTAGTGGAGTGAAAAGATTTAGACCGTTGAACAATTTTGCATCTATTAAGATAAAATTATAAAATAAAATTAAAACAAAATTTGAACTATCTGAGTTTAACCTAGTCAATATCCATATAATGGACTTGCATGATTTTAGTAATTTGGACAATCTAATTGAATAGTATTGTATTTGTTTTGCAGATTTTCACTAGCTATGTGACACATTTGGAGTTTTCATTTTGTGAGTTCATAACTGAAATACCTGATATGTCTCAATGTCAATGTTTACGAAGATTGGATTTGCGATACTGTTTCAATCTGATAAAAGTTCATGATTCATTGGGATGTCTCTCAAAGCTGATGAAACTTGATGTTAGTAAATGCACCAAACTTTCCATTTTCCCACGTGAAATCAAGATGGCATCACTTGACAGCCTTTCTTTTAGAGGATGCACAAGTCTTGAGTACTTCCCACATGTAGTGGGAAAGATGGATGCACTAGACTACATTTCAATAGATGGCACTGCTATTAAGGAGCTCCCACCTTCCATTGGAAATCTTTCTGGGCTTCGATATTTATATATGCATTCCTGCACAAGTCTTAGGGAACTTCCATCCAGCTTGTTCATGTTGCCAAATCTTGAGACGCTTGATTTCGGAGGCGTTCATCCTCAAAACAGAAAGTCTTGGATGAAGTTAATGCAAGATACCGAACCTATTATCTGCAGCTATTATATGAAGAAATTGCTTCTCATGAATTGTGGTCTGTTGGATGAAGAACTTCACCTAATTCTGAACCGTTTTCGAAATTTGCAAGAGTTACATCTATCAAGCAATGATTTTGTGTCCCTCCCAGAGTGCATTAAGGAGTGCACCAACTTGTGGGGGCTAGAAGTGAGTGATTGCAAGAGGCTAAGAGACATACCAGAGTTGCCAACAAAGTTGCGTCGTATAGAAGCAGCAAATTGCACATCATTCACTGCAGAATCATTGGACAACTTATATTCTCAGGTTTTTCTCTCTTTCTTTAACCAAACACTTTAAGTTGCCTGTGCAAGATAAAAATCTTACGGTGTAAATTTATTCAGAAAGTTTTCACTTAGAGACAACTCCAAGGATCCGGAAGTTTTTTCAAGTACAAAATTTACTCCAAAAGTTTAAAATTGTAGCAATTTTGCCCCTTACCATTAAAATAGTGATATTGACGGCCAATATTTTTAATTATAAGGAACAAAATTGTTGTGATTTTAAACTTTTGGAATAGGTTTGCACCCAAAAAAACGGGTGTCGAATGCTGGGGAAAACTTTCAGCTCAAATTTTGCATCTTACCCATAAAACTGTGGATGAACTTTTAAACGTACTGTGAACATTTTAGCGTTATCTCATATCTAAAATCTGAGAACTCACTTGGTTGAACTGTTTCAGGCAAAAAAGGAGTTGCTGAACTTGATAATCATTGTGCCAGCAACGACATTTCCTGATTGGTTCAACTATTGCGGTGAAGGAGACACGTTGTGTTTTCGCGTTCGTGGGAGTTTACCTCGTGGAATTCTTGCATTTGAGGTGGCAGGGAAAGCGAACAGGAGCAAGGAACAAACGTTCCCGGTTTTTATGAGCATCAATGGTGTGGGATTGGTGAGACATGATTTTGATGAACTGAAACAAGACCATTATGATAAATGGCATATTCAAGCTCAACAAGGCAATTTGTTATTGCTTGACGGATTTATTCAATCTACAGAAGAAGAGCAAAAGCATCTGAACAAGTTTATGGGGATGGATTGGAATGAAGTGAGAATACAAGTTGTGACTGACTCACCAGATACATCAGTTAAGTGGGGAGTTTATGTCTACAAGGGAACAAACATGGAGAATGTGCAGTTCATCAAGTCTTCTCATAATGCTTCAACGCCATCACTATCTCTTCCTAATTATGAACCACCCAAGAAGCTCCTCAGAACGAACTGATATATAAAGGAACACAGAGAAAGGGTCAAGGTGATGATGAGCTAGCCTCTTCTATCCACCTATGTCGTTTCATGCATGCTTTTTTTTTGTATTATTAATATTATTTCTTCTTGTTTATTAATATTACTTCTTTTTTTTAATTAATATTACTTTCCCTTCCATGTATTTGTAGGACAATTAAATAACACCAAACTTTTCATTCATGCTATGGGAGAGAGGTTGCTTCTCCAATTATTAATAAGCTTGTTTGGAGATCTTTGTATCATTAGCTATCAAATAATTGTTAGTTACATGCGGCACTGAATACAAATGAAAATAATAAAGACTTTATTAATACTCCTTCCCTCCCCATTTTATGTAGAGGGCACCTTCTAAAAGATTCTTTTAATCATCTTTTCAAGACATTTGGCAGTTTTTAAGAGTATTAAATATTTTTTTTATATTTGCCCGTGTTTAATAATAGTAAAGAGAGTGAAAATTAATAGGATTTTGAAGTTTAGTTCATAGGTATAATAATGAAAATTACTAAAATTTTATAATAAAATTGATGCTTTTAATTGTTTTTTTATATATGTAAACTTAAAAGAGCAAACGTATGTTTAAAGTCAAATATTAGAGGTATACTTTTACCTCGATAAAAGATTAGGAAGAGAATAAATGTTGAAGGAGGACTTGGCTATGATGTGGCTAGAGGAAGGGAACAAGGGAATTACGGGGGGAAAAAAAAAAGGAAAGAAGTTTTCGAACAAAAATAAAAAAAAATCCATCGCAAATTGATTTTGCGACGAACTATTATATTATAAATAATTGAAGGGGGTTGAAAGTTTCATGAAAATGAGAGATAGAAATTAGAGGTGGAGCTCACTTGTCACCATATTCCTGTCCTTCTCCATACTTGACTAATTGAGGGGATTGAAAGTATTCACACCAAAATTCTATTTTTTAGAATTAATTCTTTTTAGCCTCTCCAGATTGCAATTTATGTTCACAATTTCTAATTTGTTTTACCATTGTCTGGAAGCATAAAGTTCATGTAGATGATAATTAAATGTGTACAGCATCATTCAAGAAATTAAAGCAACCAATAAGGTAGAATACAATATTCTCTTTTGAAAAAGGGAGGGAAAAAACACCAAATAAATAAAAATAAAAATAAAACTTTGAAGTTGACGACCAGGATGCTTTTAGATTTTGAAAAAGACTTAGATCAGGCTATTTATATCCATTATATCTGATTCAATACTTGTTGACAAACACTCAGCTAACCATAACATATATGAAAAGGATTTAAGACAACAACAACAAAGATTAGGCCAATGTGTTGGAACCGAGGTTGTTTAGATTTTCCTTTTTCTGTGAAAATTCCCCTGATTCCTCCGTGAATTTCTGTCCCTTTTTTCCCCCACTTTCTCTTTCTCTTTCTCTTTCTACTGAGGCTGAGTATTACTTTTTCCCTGTTCTTCTCATTTTTTTATCCGAAAGCTGCATTGTAATTGAGGAATTAAGATCGATATATAGACATAATATTATGGGAAGGAATTTTTTTACGAAAAAAACTTGATATTAAAATTGGCTTATTTGACTTACAAGGACGCATGACCACGAAAGATGCTCCCTTCATTGCTCCACAGTCCACGCACTCTAAAAAAAAAACCAAGAAGATAGATAAATAAATAAATAGGCAATAATTTTTTTTTTTTAAAAATACTCATTCGCTCGCATGTGTACGTCAAGATCTGGCAGAATGTTGGATGCGAGGTGGAATATGAAGATCCTCCATGTGCCTAGAGAAGAATATTATAGCATAGTTTCTTGTTGTAAAGACGAAGAGAGAGGGAATGAGTGGGAAAAAATATATTAGTATTTAATACTCTCCTTAATAGGGAAAAAAAATGAAAGATTTCATCTACTTAATACTCTTTAATATATAAAAAACTCTTATAAGCAACTAATACTACTTCCGGTTCTTAATATAAAAGCTTATTTAAGTTTTATTTTAGTCATAAATATGAGATCTCAATCTACTTTGTCTCTTATATTTATCCATTTTTTCTTAAGGTAGTCCTCATAATGATGATAATTGTAGCCAATACATTTGATTAGCAAAGATATTTTAAGAAAAATAATATCTATTTATTACAAATAACTAACTTAATTAGTTTTTATAACTTATTCAAATTAGTTAACTAGCTTTTATATTAAAAACTAAAATTAGCAATAAATAGCAGAGTGGTACGCCATTTCAGTCTCTATTTGATATTAAAAGGTTGAAGGCTGTTGTGTTATACTACCTCTAATCCTAATTATAAGAACTTATTTATAGATTATAAACTAGGTCTTATAATTAGGAGTGCAGGTAGTAATTTTTATTTATTACATTATGGTTCACTTTTCAATGTACTTCTCCGATCCTTAATATATGACCTAATTGTTAAGTTAATTTTGGTCCTAAATATAAGACTTATTTCTCATATTTATCAATTTTTTCTAAATTACCCTTATGAATACTCCCTCAACCATAATCAAGTAAGTGAAGGAGGGAAGATATTAAGAAAGATGATTATGGTGTTTTAGAAAAAATATGTTATATTTCTTATAATTAACTAACTTACCTAACTTTCTTAATTTAATTAAATTAATTTAATAGGCTTTATATTAAGATCAAAGGAGTACATTCAAAAAATTGTTTCCATTCTGCGGATATGCGTTAACCCAATTTTGAGTGGAAATTAAAGGTTAAGGGGTCACCAAAGTTTGGATGGAAAGCAAGAGGGTGCTTGCTGTGAATTGGCGCGCCCGCACAAAATGGTTAAGTCGTATTTTAATTTTCTTTTTCTGTTTTAATTTATTGTTTTTCTTAAGTTAAATGTTTAAGGTTGATGCAATTATTCGAAACCAAATAAAAATATACCACCTTTGATCTTTAATATAAAATCCAATTGATTAATTTAAAGAGATTAAGAAAGTTAAATAATTACTGAGCATATGTTACATTATTTTTTTTGAAATACTTATGTATATTATTAGATTATATATCAATTTATAAATTAAAAAAATATTTAAAATAATAAAAAATATAAATACTTTAAAATAATTTAATAATTTCTTTAATCTTTTTAAATTAGTCAATAAAAAAAGTATTTAAATGTTAGGAATAGACCTCCCTATATATATATATATATATATATATATATAACTTTATTTTTGGTATGATAACTCAAATTTGAGCATTAATCTGAGTCAAATAGGGAGATTTATTGGTAACATTTAAACACCTTTTTCGTTAATGTATCATTTTGTATTATTTTTTTTTTAAAATAGAGAGACCTATTAATTCCTTCCAACCTACAGTGTCCCTTGATGATATGGACTTTAATGGCCCTTTTCGTATGAGGACAATGAAGAAAATGATAGAGGAGAGAAAATTTTAATAAGCTCTTTTTGAAAAATTGAAGAGGTGGCATTAACACATTTTAATTAATTTTCTTACTCTTTTATATTACATCTTCTTTTTATCAAAATCTTATTACCCTACTTCTTCAATTTTTTAAAATGAGTTTATTAAAATTTTTCATCCTCTCCTCTTTCAGACCCTTAATTATATGGAATGTCAAAAACTCTATACATCCTATGCCGCAGCAATCCATTTCCCACAGGTTCGAAGGGTAGGAAAGAGGCCACTTCAAGTAAATTTTTTCCGACCCTCGTGACGCACTGACGCCTCCATTTCCCATATCTCTCTTCCCTTTTTTAAGGCCGTTAAAGCTCATTAAGCTTTTATTTTAACTTCTTTGAAATTTAAAAAAAAAAAACACTGCAATTATTTTTAATAATTAACACACACCTACACTGTGCATTGCTTTTTTGAGTCACAAGCAAAATGTGCATTACAATAGTTACATGCAACTCTAATCTTTTCATTTGTATCCTCCAACAATAACTTAGTAAAATAATCTCATAGTTGTAATTGTTGCATATTCGTAGCTTTAAAAAGATAAAACACAAATAAATTGCTAATAAGAATAATACTCGTCCGGTCCTAAATATATTTTGTACTACAAAATGGGTCTTATATTTAGAATTAGAGGAGCACTATAAAATGAGTCTTATATTTAGGATCGAAGGAGTATTACACAATAATATGGAGTTTGACAACCTAATAAGTAGTGAAATCTTGTGCTTGAAAGTCAAAAGTAGCACAAAAGATTATAATAATACAATAACATAACAAGCTGTGATGACAATATGCAAATGTTTTCACTAAAATAATGCCATCACTAGACTATAAATAAACAGTCACAATTTTGTAAGAAAAAGCAAATTAAAATTTGTTTTAAAATATGAAAAAGGTAGGAGAACATTAGTCAAAATACATCAATCAATTTCTTATTTGCATAGGGGGTCTATTAATAGGTGGAGGAGGTCTTATTAAAACTCCAATTAAAATAGAAGTTTCATTATTTTTAACCATCTAAACTAGTCATTAGTTCAAATTGTGCTATTTAACACAATTATATATACAAATATTATCTATCAAGTAGGATTGACTTTACCTAAACATTTTTTATCAGAAAAAAATTTGTTTCTATTTATAATATGGAAGAATTTACGTACACCAATAAATGTACCTAAGGCAAATAGAGGGGGGAGAATAATATATATTATTATATATATTATAAATATATATCCTTGGAAAAAAATATTAAAAAATATATATCACAGGTAAGGTCAAATGGGTAGGGCAGCATACCCTAACAACAGCTTGACCCTACCTATGATATGCCTAGTTCAAAAATACTCAATTGTGCTGCTTTTTTTTTGGAGCTGGGCTAGGTGATGTTTTTCTCGGGCTCAAACGGGCACGTTGGGTGGGCCAGCGGGCTTGATGGGCACCAGGGTAACAGCCTAAGAAAAAAAGGGGGAGACAGAGAGAAAGGAGGCGTCAGTGCATCACGGGGGCGGAGAAAAAATGACTTGAAGTTGCCTCTTTCTTACCCTCTAAGCGACGTCGTTTGACAGCTGAGATGCGGCCTCTGCTTTCTTCCTCCGCTTTAACAATCCAACCTGACTACACTTTCCGAATTCCAACTTCCGGAGAAATTTGTTAATGGAGGATCAAACGCGGTGTTATGCCTGTTGCCGATTCACCGCGTTGGTATAAATTTCTCTGCCTCGTTAGAGTATTATTCAAATCCCAATATCTTGCTAGCTTTTCACAGATTATTGCAGCCATGGCTATTCAAGTTTCATACCATAGCTTCACTGGCAAACCCAAATACAGATTTGACGTTTTCCTAAGTTTCAGGGGTGAAGATACTCGCCACCTCTTCACTGTGCCTCTCTACAATGCTTTGCGACGCAAGGGAATCAATGCCTTCATTGACGACAAGAAGCTTGGCAAAGGGGAACGGATCGCACCTGCGCTTCTTAAAGCCATTGAGAGATCAAGGATCTCCATTATTGTGTTCTCTAAGAACTACGCTACTTCTACATGGTGCTTGGATGAACTTGCTCACATCATTTGGTGTAAGAAGGAGAAGAACCAGGTGGTTATGCCCATCTTTTACAAGGTGGCTCCCATGGCTGTTCAGTATCAGAGAGACAGTTTTGCAGCAGCCATGGCTGCTCATGAAGATAGGTTTAGAGATGACATGGATAAAGTGCAGAAATGGAGATCTGCTTTGTCTGAAGCTGCTTCTGTGTCAAAGGCCTGGCTTTTTGAAGATGGGTATGTTGGATTATTCTATTTTTGAATTGCTGCTGATGAAATTTTGGAATTCTTTATTACGGGTTCCTCATGATATAACAAACTACTGTTGAAGATGTTTTGGAGTTTTGACCGGTGATCACTGCTCTTACAGAATGGTTAATCTAACTAAACTTGAGTTCTTAATTTTTTTTCCTTGAGTATTTAAAATTTTTATTTTTTTGGTTCTGAAAATAATTTATAATCGAAGAATTTATTTTTCAAAAACATTTTTGATAGAGTTTTTACAGTAAAATTTTATTAATTTTTCTTAGTGAAATAATAGAATTTTTTTTTTTTAAAATGGTCATTGCTAATATCATAATTGGATCCACACAATTGTGAGATGAAAACTTATCCTTCCACATTATTGTTATGTGATTTTGTTCTTAAGAATGGAACATGTACCAGTCGCGATATGCTATTAATGTTGTTCCTGAGGTTGCACAAATTTTTGTATTTAAGCCTCCGATCGATTCTTACTTATAACTCATCATTACAATACAGATCAATACATTGCGTGAAATCTGACTACAAAATCCATTATTATAATTATGAACCAACTCAAATTCTTATATCCTGTATGGAGTCTAAAAGGAAAAGAATGACAGACATTTTATATGCATGAATCATCTTCGTAGTACAAGAGAATTTGCCCTTTTGTAGGTACGAAATTGGGTTTATGGAAAAGATTGTTAATGATGCTTATGCTATGCTGCCTCCTAAAAAATTATATAACATTGGGTACATGGTTGGACTTGAGCCTCGGGTGGAAGAAGTGACTTCACTTTTAAATCAATCCGATGATAGAGTTTGTATGCTGGGGATTCATGGAATTGGTGGAATTGGCAAGACAACCGTTGCAAAATTGGTCTATAATTCAATCTTCTACCAATTTGACGGTGCTTGTTTTTTGTTTGATGTTGAAGAAGCATCAAGGAAATATCTAGGCATGGTTCGTCTCCAACAAAAACTTCTATCAGAGATTCTTGAAGAGAAGACTATGAGGATTGGGAGTGTTGGTGAAGGAATATCAAGAATAAAACATAGACTTTCTCACAAAAAGGTTCTTTTGGTTCTTGATGCTGTTGATGAGATTGAACAGTTAGAACAACTTGCAGGCGGGTGTGATTGGTTTGGTTTTGGAAGCAAAGTCATTATAACAACAAGAAATAAGCAATTGCTAATTGCTCACAATGTTCAAAGAACATATGAAATGATGCAGCTGAATGAGTATGACTCTCGTGAGCTCTTTTGTTGGCATGCCTTCCATATGAACCAACCTCCAATAACATATCAAGATATGTCTAGTCGTGCAATAAGTTATGCACAAGGCCTTCCTTTGGCATTAAAAGTAATAGGCTCCAATTTGGCAAATAAAAATTTGGTGGAATGGATTTCTATACTGGAACAATATGAGAGGATCCCAGAAAGAACAATTCAAGATATTCTAAAGATAAGCTATGATTGCTTACAAACTGGTGCCAAGCGTATTTTCCTAGATATTGCTTGTTTTATTGGCAAGAAGGAACATATTAAAGAAGCAGTAAAAGCCTGCGATTTTGGTGCTAGGTTTTTTCTTGAAGTTCTTAACGATAAATCTTTGATAACTTTAGTTGCTGGTGATGAATATTTTTTCATGCATGATCTAATACGACAAATGGGAAGAGAGATTGTTAGACAAGAGGCACCATTAAATCCTGAAAAGCGCAGCAGATTATGGTATTATGAAGATGTTCTTAAAGTACTGCGTGAAAATTTAGTAAGAATCGAAACCATGAAACTTATTGTGATACACACACAAGCACATATAGTGATATCTACTAATGGTACTTCCCTTAACCTGCATTACAGGGATGCAATAATATTGAAGGTATAATGCTTGATCCTCCTCGGCAAGAAAAAGTAAACTGGAGTGGTACGGCTTTTGAGAAGATGAATAATCTTAGAATTCTTGTTGTTCAAAATGTCAAATTTTCAACTGGTCCTACCTATCTTCCCAACAGTTTAAGATGGTTGGAATGGGAGCGATATCCTTCTGCAACTTTTCCAAAAGATTTTTCTCCTTCAGAGCTAATTTTCTTGAATCTACCTACAAGTTCTTTTAGACTAGAAGAGCCATTGAAGGTACTTTTTTAAATAATTCTTTATAGTTATTTTTCAGTCAAATTTCTTTCTCTTTTTCTTGTTGGCCTGCCAAATTTCTTTAGCTGTAAGTTTTCATCTTAGAATCAAGAATAATCATGCTCTGCTACGATTCTGATTTAAGTGTAACATAGTCGTGATAAAGTTGAATAGTTTCTTTTGATATACAGTTGTCTCATATATATTTCAAAAACCTACAAATGTTTTTTTATATTTTGAAAGCATATGCTTTAATACATTTGTGAAAAATAATTATAAAACACATTTCACAATACTCTGTGAATAATTTACAATTCAGTATGGTCTTTGAAACATTGTTGTCTAGAAAATGTGTCAAGTAAAACAAGTTTCTAACACTCACCATAGAAGTTTCGAGGCTTAGTGGTGTGAAAAGATTTAGACAGTTAAACAATTTTGCATCTATTAGGACAAAAATTATGAAAATAAAATTAAAATAAAATTTGAAATATCTGATTTGAAACCAGAAGATCCATATGGATTTGCATAATTTTAGTAATTTGGACAATCTAATTAGATAGTACTGTATTTGTTTTGCAGGTTTTTACTAGCTGTGTGACGCATTTGGATTTTTCATTTTGTCAATTCATAACTGAAGTACCTGATCTATCTCAATGTCAATGTCTACGAAGATTGGATCTGTCAAGCTGTTTCAATCTGATAAAAATTCATGATTCGTTGGGATCCCTCTCTAAGCTAATCGAATTAGATGTTAGTGAATGCACCAAACTTTCCATTTTTCCACATGAAATCAAGATGGCATCACTTGAATGGCTTGATCTTAAAGCCTGCACAAGTCTTGAGTACTTCCCACGTGTAGTGGGAAAGATGGATGCACTAAGGCGAATTTCCATAACTCGCACTGCTATTAAGGAGCTCCCACCTTCGATTGGAAATCTTTTGGGGCTTCGATATTTACATATGCACTCTTGCAGAAGTCTTGGGGAACTTCCAACCAGCTTATTCAAGATGCGAAATCTTCAGATGCTTGATTTCGGAGGCGTTCATCCTCATAATAGAAAATCTTGGATGAAGTTAATGCAAGATATCCAAATCAGCAGCTGTTATGTGAAGAAACTGCATCTCGTGAATTGTGGTCTGTTGGATGAAGAACTTCACCTAATTCTGAATTGTTTTCGAAATTTGCAAGGGTTATATATGCAAAGGAATGATTTTGTGTCTCTCCCTAAGTGCATTAAGCAGTGTAAGAGTCTATGGTGGCTGGATGTGAGAGACTGCAAGAGGCTAAGAGACATACCAGAGTTGCCATCAGAGTTGCATGACATAGATGCAGGGAATTGCACATCATTAACCGCCGGATCATTGGACAACTTATATTCTCAGGTTTTTCTTCTTCCCTTGGATCTATTCTCTCTTTCTTTTGCCATTTTAGCATTCTCTCATATTTGAAATCTGAGAACGCATTTGGTCTGTCTGCTGTTTTGGTAAATATAATCAGGCAAAAATGGAGTTGCTTCACTTGAGAATCAGTGTGCCAGTAACAACATTTCCTGATTGGTTCAACTATTATGGTGAAGGAGACACGTTGTCTTTTCGCGTTCGTGGGAATTTATTACCTCGTGGTATTGTTGCATTTGAGGCCACGGGGAAAGCGAACATGAGTTTTGAACAGAGCTTCCCAGTTTTATGAGTATCAATGGTCATACTGATAAATTGCGAATTGCAGCTCAAGAAGGTAATTTGTTATTATTTGACGGATTCGTGCAACTTACGGAAGCAGAGCAAAAGCGTCTCAACAAGTATATGGGGTTGGATTGGAATGACGTGAACATACAAGTTATGATTCCCTCGCCAGATATGTTCTTAGTTAAGTGGGGAGTTTATTTCTACAAGGGAGCAAACATGGAGAATGTGCAGTTCATCAAGTCTTCCCATAATGCTTCAACGCCATCACTGCTGGAACAAACAGGGATGACTTCTCTTCCAAATTATGAACCACCCAAGAAGCTCCTCAGAACGAACTGATATATAAAGGAAAACCCAGTAACACAAAGAAAGGATTAAGGTGAACCTCTTCTTCCTACGTACTAACTGTCGTTTCATGGATTCTCTTTTTTTTTTTTATGAATATCACTGTTCATTCATGCCACGGTAGAAAGATGGTTTTTCCAATTATTAAGCTTGTCTGGAGATTTTAATTTGTAGCATTAGCTATCAAATAATTGTTAGTTAATTACATGTGGTACTGAATTGAATACAAGTGGAAAAAAAAAATGAAGAATTTATGAATACTCCTTCGGGTTTTATGTAGAGGCCATCTTCGAAACCGCTGCACATTCCATGCTATTGGGCCTCGTATCCATATAATATGCTTGGGCTTATTTGCTTTAGTCGTAACACTTTTAATGCATCTCAACACCCGTTTAATGTACGAGGCGAGTCAACATTGAAATTTTGGTTGAGAAAGGTATTTGTATTTAATATCTTAAATATGATTATTTTCAATTAAAAGATATCTATACATAGTTTTAAAAAAAAAAAAAAAATAAAGAACACTTATCCTTCCCCTAAATATTTTGAATATTCGAAAAAGCATCCAGAAATCTAAGGTTCAAAACATCAACTCCACTCCCATAAGACTCCGTTATCTTCACGAGTTCTTTCTTTTGATCTGATCCAGCCACCAGCAACCCAAAAATGTTTTTGTTTTTGTTTTTTTTAAGCCAAGACCTAAAAACTACAGTTAACTTGGCCAGTAACATACATAAGTTGATTGAGACTTAACCCTTATTGAACCCAACCGCTGCTGACAAAGACTAGCTATTTGTGAGTCGATGTGAACTGAGCTAACCCGATACGAACCGGTTATATCTCAGGTAACTTGGTGGGTTGAGCGGGTTATGTTTTTTCCATCCAGCCCATGAGCTTGGAATGGAACGGTGAAAGAAGTCTAAATTTGGAGACAATGATGGCGTAAAGGAAAAAGAAGAAGCTGGAAAGTATTATCAGGGCAGAAATTGAAGCCTGCAACCTATTATTATACCCGAAAGAGATTGAGTGAATCGAGCAGAAGAGGGAGAAAAAATATTAGGAAAGATGATTATGATATTTTAAGAAAAAAATATCATATTTTTTATAATTAACTAATTTACCTTACTTTCTTAATGTAATCAAATTAGTTAATAGATTTTATATTAAAAACTGGAGTATTAATTATGAAAATGACAAAACTATTCTTCAACTCTTTAATTCTTTGATTTTTTTTTAAGGTAATTTGAAATGATTTACATGTAACTTTTTAATAAAATAAATATATAAAAAAATTTTGTTTCAATTTATATAAAAATGTTTATAAGTTATTTCAATTGGTATCCTCCCCTCAAAGGTGAGGGGCAGCTGACACGCCAGTCCGACCACTCTGCTATTCAAACCTAAACTCGTCATTCTTATTTACATTAATTGATGTGTTATTAATCTTTAAGTATTCTTTTCAAATCTGTCCAAAATAAAATAATATTATTTGATGGTCACGTTGTGCAAAAATTTTAAATATATAAATTTCTAAGATTTAACCTAATTCTTACAACTTTAATTAATAATTAATGCATTTACTTAAAACTAGTTGTTTCTTTTTTTGTAGTATTTTTGTATACATCTAAGAGGGACTACTCACACACTCACACACCCAAACATCTCACACACACGCTCACACACCCAAACACCTCGCGCACACCCTTTGCCTTAAACCATAAGGAGATTTGATCCCCAACTTCTTTAACAAGTGCCGTGTCATTTGAACTAAGGATCTCGAGTAGTTTTTTTTTTAAAAAAATAAAATAAAAGACAAAGCTTTATTAAAAAGCAAGTAAAAACTAAAAAGATGTGATACTAAAGAGCCTCTTTCCACACATCAAAAAGCTAGAAGCCCAAAGTAAACTAGGATAAGCTATCGGCTAGTTTTTTTTTTTTTTTAAATGGTTAAATATAAATATCTTTATACATTTTAGTTTATTATATTAGCCATTCAAGTTTCTCCTCATTTTAATTTTGATCCCTCAAATTTCAAATAATAAGTTTTAATTCATCAAAAGATAAAATGATTTAAATTTTTATTAGATTATAAGGACTAATATTATAAATAAAAAGAAATTTAAAAAACTAAAATTTATGATTTTAAATTTGAGAAACTAAAATTAAAACTAAAATGAAAACAACTTGAAAGATTAAAATTTGTGTTAATTTTGTTTTTTTTTTTTATCATCACTCATCTAATTCTAATTCGTTCTGCTGAGTATTGACACTCGCGACGTTGTCCTGATCAGTTAGCTTCGGTTCTGCCCCCACAAACACGGGACAAACAGGTAATGACGAATTTACTTCACAGGTCCCACGTTCATTAAAAAAAAAAAAGTGGCCGCGGGCACGCCTTTTTTCATGAAGAATGCAAGTTAAATTGTAGGAAAAATTTCACTGTAGGACCGCAGAAGACAATTAATTTTAAAGAGTCCTCAAAACTTTCTGAAATTTTATTGCAGGACCAAGGGGCAAACTGATATTAATTCCACAAAGAAAATGACGTTATTACCCCTCATAATACTTATTGCAGGATGACATGTAAATGGATTAATTTCAGTTGTAAATAAAGGTATGTATGTTGCAAATTGACTAGTCCCACTTGCAAATGGGCTCTCTCACACTTATTCACTCACAGACACCTTTTTCAGGTGAATGAGGTGATATGTAAATGGACTAATTCTAATTGTAAATATATGTATGTATGTTGTAAATTGACTAATCCCACTTGCAAATGAGCGCTCCCACACTTGTTCACTCACGGAGACCTTTTTCAGGTGAAGGAAGTGACATGTAAATGGACTAATTCCAGTTGTAAATAAATATATGTATGTTGCAAATTGTCTAATCCCACTTGCAAATGGGCTGTCCCACACTTGTTCACTCAGACACATTCTTCAGGTGAAGAAGGTAATATGTAAATGGACTAATTTTAATTGTAAATATATTTATGCATGTTGTAAATTATCTAACCTCACTTGCAAATGGGTTCTCCCATACTTGTTCACATGAGGGGCAATAGGGTCATTTTCTTTGTGGAATTAATATCAGTTTGCCCCTTAGTCCTGCAGTGAAATTTCAGAAAGTTTTAGGGACTTTTTGAAATTAATTCTGTATTGCGGTCCTTGAACGAAATTTTCCCTAAATTGTAATGCAAATGCAGTACCCAAATTCCGGCATTCCGGACAAGTGATGCTCTCTCCACTAAAAAATTTAAAATTCTCACGCTCTTTCCTCTTGCCTGCAAATGTAAAGCGTCAATTCATATTCTGAAACTTTCAAGCTTCCGACAAATTTCTTTATGGGGTATCAAAAGCCTGCCCTCTATTTTGGCCACTGACCACCTTTGTGTAAATTTGTCTCCCAATCACAGGTTTGAGTATTCAAGTCCTAATGCCTTACTGGCTTTCAGTTTTATATCATCATAGCCATGGCGATTCGAGTGGAAGCACCATCGTCCTTTAGCTCTCCTACTAAAACCAAGTATGAATACGATGTTTTCCTGAGTTTTAGAGGCGTAGATACTCGCCACACCTTCACTGGGCTTCTCTACGATGCTTTACGACGCAAGGGAATCAACGCCTTCATCGACGACAGGAAGCTTGGAAAGGGGGAAGAGATCTCACCTGCGCTTCTTGAAGCCATTGAGAGATCCAGGATTTCCATTGTTGTGTTCTCTAGGAACTATGCTACTTCCAAATGGTGCTTAGACGAACTCGACCACATCATTTGGTGTAAGAAGGAGAAGAAGCAGGTGGTTATGCCCGTCTTTTACAAGGTCGATCCGTTAGATGTTCAATATCAGAGAAATAGCTTTGAGAAAGCCATGGCTGCTCTTCAAGATAGGTTCAAAGATGACTTAGACAAAGTGCGCAGATGGAGGTCTGATTTGTGTGAAGCCGCTAGCTTATCATCTGCATGGCTTTTCGATGATGGGTAGGCTTTGTCTGAGTGCCTTTCTTCAGATATGTTTTTCAAAATTATAATCTTAACCTTAAAATATGATTTTTTTTTTTTTTTAATCCAGTTCAAATTTTTCTTTATCTAGGATTTAGAGCTCTGAATTTCATTTTTTTTTATTTGTTAATTACTTTTCTTTAGTCATGGAGTTATGGAATCTTACTTTAATTTATAATGCAGTTTCTATTATAGCTATCCCTGCTTCTTTGAAATTTTGAATAAAAACTGTTATGCGTTCAGCTCAACCTAACGTGACTTCTTCTTAAAAAATAGTGTAGAAAATGAGTGTTTTCTGTCATTAGCTAACTGTCGCACAATTTTCATTTTGACTTATGAGTCGAGTTTTTAGTTCTAATTTTACGTTTCTCAAGGTTAGAAGTTTTTGAGTAGAATCCTTGTCTTGAATTAACTTTTTGAACACTATTTTTATTATTTTAATGCTGAGAAGTTCACTTTTGTTGTAACTTCTTTATTCTAGATTTACTTAAATGTTACTGTGACATATTTTACAAAGAGCAAATAACCAAAACTAATTTGAATTTCTATAGATGCAAACTTGGGTTTATCGAAAGGATTGTGGAAGATGCACGTGCTATGCTACCACCCAACCCTTTACATAGCGTTGATCACCCAGTTGGACTTAAGTCTCGCATTGAAGAAGTGAAGTCACTTTTGGATCAGTCTCATGATGGCGTTTGTATGTTGGGGATCCATGGAACTGGTGGAATTGGAAAAACAACACTTGCCAAGGCTCTATATAATTCAATATTTTGCCAATTTGAAGGTGCAAGTTTTCTATTTGATGTCAGAGAAGCATCAAATGAATATCGAGGCATAGTTCGTCTCCAACAATTACTTTTATCTGAGATTCTTGAAGAGAAGAGTAAGAAGTTTGGTAGTGTTGATGAAGGAATAACTAAAATAAAACACAGACTCTCCCACAAAAGAGTTCTATTAGTTCTTGATGATGTTGATGCATTAGAACAATTAGAACAACTTGCAGGAGGGTGTAACTGGTTTGGATCCGGAAGCAAGATCATTATAACGACTAGAGATAAGCAATTATTAAGTGTACATGGTGTTCAAGAAACTTATGAAATGAAGGAGCTAAATGAGCATGAGTCTCTTGAACTCTTCTCTTGGCATGCCTTTCATAGCAGTCATCCTTCCAAAGGCTTTGAAGATATATCTGCCCGTGTGATTAGTTATGCCCAGGGCCTTCCTTTGGCTCTAAGAGTAATAGGCTCCAATTTGACTCATAAAAGCTTAGAGGAATGGAGGTCAATATTGGAACAATACGATAGGATCCCAGATAAAACAATTCACGAAGTACTAAAGATTAGTTACGATTGCTTACAAGACAATGCAAAGTCTATCTTTTTAGATGTTGCTTGTTTTTTCAAGAAGTGGAGATCGGTATATGCCAATGAAGTACTACACACCTGTCATGGTGGTGCAAGGTTTTACTTTGAAGTGCTCATTGATAAATCATTGCTGAGTGTTGATAAATATGATTGCTTGTGGATGCATGATCTAATACAAGAAATGGGTCGAGAAATTGTTAGACGGGAGGCACCATTAAATCCTGGTGAACGCAGCAGATTGTGGCACCATGAAGATGTTGTTAGAGTATTACGTGAAAATTCTGTAAGAACTGAATCATTTCTCTTTCACATTAACATTAAATGCATTGTGCATAGTTTGGTTTTCTGGCAATATCTAACTGTTACTGCTATGCACTTACATTAAAGGGAAGCAGCAAAATTGAAGGAATAATGCTTAAATCTCCTCAACAAGAAAAAGTAGCGTGGAGTGGCTTTGCCTTCGAGAAAATGAGCAATCTTAGGATTCTCATTGTGCGAAATGCACTATTTTCAACCGGCCCTAAGCACTTCCCAAATAATTTAAGATTGCTTGATTGGGAGCGATACCCTTCTATGACCTTACCAGAGGATTTTTATCCTGAGAACATTGTTGTCCTTAGGTTATGTCGTAGTTATGTCAGATTAGTGGAGCCAATCAAGGTATTTTTCTTTTCCCCTTAATCTATCATTTGCCTCTAAAATTCATATCACTTTATGGTATTGCTAATCAGGTTATCTAGTTTTGGTTTTGCAGAGGTTAGAATATGTGACAAGCATGGATTTCTCATATTGCGAATTTATAACTGAAGTGCCTATTATGTCTCAAGTCCCAAATTTAAAAGAACTGATATTTGTAGGCTGTTGCAATTTGATTAAGGTTCATGATTCTGTGGGATATCTCTCTAAGTTAGCGGTATTAACCGTTAATGGCTGCAGCAAACTTAAAAGCTTTCCTCGTGAAATCAAATTGGCGTCTCTTGAGCACCTTGACCTTGCTTTTTGTGAGAGTCTTGATTACTTCCCAAATATAGTGGGAAAGATGGACGCATTGAATACCATTCTTGCAGATAACACTGCTATTGAAGAACTCCCACATTCCATTGGAAATCTCTCAGGGCTTCAAATTTTATCTCTTAACTCCTGCGAAGGTCTTAGGGAGATTCCAGACACAATATTCACGCTGGAAAATCTTGTCTGGCTTTTATTGGAGAATAGTAGACCTCATAGCAGAAAATCCTTGAAGAAGTCAATGCAAGATAGTTATCCAATTATTAGAAGCACAAACTTGAAGATTTTGAATCTAGAAAATTGTGGTCTATTGGATGAAGATCTTCACCTAACTGTGAATTGTTTTCGGAATCTGCAAGAATTAAATCTATCAGGGAATGATATCTTGTCCCTTCCTGACTGCATCAAAGAGTGTGCTTATTTGGAGAAACTAAATCTGGATAACTGCAAGAGGCTAAGAGACATTCCAGAGCTGCCACCAAACCTGGCGGATATACAAGCAGACAATTGCATATCATTAACGAGAAAGTCCTTAAGCCATTTATGGTCCCAGGTTATTCATTCTCTTTCCCATTTGGCTTTATCATTTTAAGAGAGCAATCAGTAATTATCAGAAAAAAGTTATTTATAAAATTTTCATTTGATTTGAGAAAGCCATTTGGGTGTTTTATGTAATGACAGGCTAGAAAGGAGGTGTACTACTTGGCCATCAGTAGTATGCCAGCATCAACATTTCCAGATTGGCTCAACTTTTGCTGCAAAGGTGGGACCTTGTCTTTTCGTGTTCGTGGGAATTTCCCGGTGGTTGCCTTAGTATTTGAGTTTGAGAAAGGAGGTGCGAGCCATGTTTCTGAGGGAAGAGTCCTTGGTCGAATGAGCATCAATGGTCATGAAGTAAGGGAAGGAAATAATATAGCCTTTCCAAGTAGAGAAGGTCATGTGTGTGTATTTGATCTAAGAAGAGCTTTCCCGGACGGAAAACACTGGAAGATCTTAGATGGGTTTCTGGAATTGGATTGGAATGATGTGGAAATAGAAGCCAAATGTAAGCCACCGGATTTGTGCATAGTTAAGTGTGGAGTTTATGTGTACCAGCAGCAAACAGACATGGAGAATGTGCAGTTCAAGTCTTCTTTGCTTTCTTCAAATGATCCAAAATCTTCGTTGAAACGAAGGGCTATAGCTTCTCCTCCTGATGAAAGAACGAAAAAGTTTCGAGTCTATTGACAAATGAAAACTCAACAACACAAAGACAAGGGCAAGGTGAGCCTCTATGCTTTCTACTAACTGATTTATATTAAATGCATGTTGTATATGGTTGGGTTAATTGGTAATATTTAATTGTTACTACTATGCTCTTACATTAAAGGGAAGCAGAAAAATTGAAGGAATAATGCTTAGTTCCCCTCAAGAAGTAGAGTGGAGTGGCTTTGCCTTTAAGAAGATGAAGAATCTTAGGATTCTCATTGTTACTTTAAAATTGGTCCCAAGCACTTTCCAAACGATTTTGAATCTCTTCTATACTAATTGGTGTTGCAGTTTTCCAGCTTCACGTGATGCAAGAGAGTCATTTTAAATGATTTACCAAAAATTCGTGGATGCATATTGCGGAGACTTTCAGAAGAGAAGTGTTTTTAGCTACTGTTGGTTATTGGGAGTATGAGCCTTTTTTGGGGGAAAAAACTACTGGTTAGCTTTCATTCACGTTTTTCCTGGTATTGAATGAAGTCTGAAGAACAAGCTGCATTATTTATGTATTAAAAATGGTGTTCCTCGGCATAAATTTTATATTGGTATTAATTGTTGCATTAACATTAAATTGTTCTTGCCGCAATGCCCGTGCAGAACGCAGGGAACCCAAGAAGTGCTCTCGACCTCTCCTTGAGTTCCTTTGCCTCCCAGCGTCTCAGAAATTGTAACTTACAAAACTCGCTAAAAGAATTGCAAAATATTTTGAATACAATAATGCTTAATATATGATTTAATTGGAGAATTGATATTAATCCTATCTGTAATACTTATTTTATATGTTTATTTTTTTTTAAATTAATCTTATTGATATTTTTTTAACAATAATCAAGTAAGGGAGAGAAGGAAAAAATTAAAGATGATTAGAGTATTTAAAAAAAAAAAGAAGTTACATTAACTAATTTAATTAACATTTTTGTTATACTTAGATTAGTTAATTAGGTTTTATATTAAAAATTGAAAGAGTGCTACCTATGGTCCTAAATAAAAATTTTATTTTGATTCCAAATTTAAAATCTCTGCTTGCTTTGCCTTTCAATTCAAAAGGGAAAAAAAATTAAGGAAACAATATGCATGTGCTAATATTAACTAAATTGCCAAATCGAGTGTTCGGATGTTTGAATTAGTTTATTTCAAATAATTTTGTGATGTATAAAATAAATATTCTTTTTTATCCATAATATAGGTCGTTTTTAGAAGAATGGTTTGTCTTAAAATATAAGTCACTTAAAAAAATATTTAATACTTATTTACTAGTTTTGTCCGTATAATTAATGCTAAAATATAATTCATTATGTTTTTCTTTTTCCTTCATGACCTTATTTGATATATGGGTAAAGTTAGAAAAAAAAAATTTTAATTTGAAACAAATTTAATGAGTTCATCCTCTTATCTTATTTATAAAGTATTTTCAGCGTATTTCACAGAGAATAAGAAAACTCTAAATTGCATTAGTTTTTTATTAAAATATAATAACTTTTTAATTTTATTCCTATTTAATATATATACTTTTAAAAATAAATAATTATCTATGGTATAATAGATAAAAGGAGAAAACAGTATATCTATACTACAAAGTGATTTATAAGTAGAATTAAAAAAATTTTTGCTCTCTATCATATAAACCAGACTAAAGGAGGAACTATTATTTTTTGATATTGATGAACTTGTATGGTAGATAAAAAGAGGACGTGAGGCCCTTAATTGATGTTCAAAGGGGGAAAAGCCTGGCGAAAAATACGGTCCCTTGGGTTTCGAAGGCCTACTGGGGCATACCCCTTTCATAGAGTCCGAAGGCAGTGAGGCATCTTCCGCAGATTTTCCATGCGCTTTCAATTTTCATGCGGGGAAGTATCGGATCCCAAAAGACACCCACCCGCAAGTAAACTTGTCATTTGCAAGTAATTTGGTGAAGAACCATGTCTCTGTAAGTTGGTCTCTGCCTGTAGGAATAAATTCCCTTATCTAAAAGCTTGTAGTAGCTATCCTGACCATGGCGATTCAACTGGCAGCACCCTCTTTTGGCTACCAGCGAAACGGAGTCTAGATATGATGAATCCCTGAGTTTCACCGTGATTCTCTGCAAGGCTTTGCGCCGGAAGGGAATCAATGCCTTCATTGATGACAAGAAGCTTGGGAAAGAGAAACGAATCTCACCTGAACTTCTTAAAGCCATCGAGTAATCCAGGATTTCGATCATTATGTTCTCTAGGAACTACGCTACTTCAACATGGTGCCTGGATGAACTCGCTCACATCATTCAGTGTAAGAAGGTGAATCCGATGGATGTCCAATATCGGACAAATAATTTTGGAGAGGCCATGGCTGCCCATAAAAATAGGTTCAGAAATGATATGGAGAAAGTGTGCAAACGACAAGAATTAAATCAGGGGACAAATAGGTAATAACGAGGGTGATTAATGATATGTCGGATTTGGAGCTAAGCAAATTTCAGATTGTCATGGATGTGGTTTTTAGGTGATTTCACTTCATGAAGGTGAGCATGTACTCTTAATTATTTTTATTTTACTTTTTTTTTGTTTTCTACTTTTTAATGATTTTGACTTGATAAACAGAGTTGGTTGCCCTGTTCCTTTGTAGTCTAAAATTTTATACTTCCTCAAATCTTTAATATAAGTCACTTTTAATTACCTTACACATATTAAGAAAAAGAGTCAAAAGTTGGTTGCATCCTTAATTCTGTGAAAAAGTTCTGAAAGCTTCCAACAGTGGCCTTATCAGGCACAATGAATTTCAAAGATTTGCATGTTCCTTGGATAAGGCATCTTTCTCGACGCCTGATCTCCTCGTGAGATAAAACAACCTTGTCAGCACTTCCTAATTGCAGAACAAATAAGCTAGGGGCATCTGTGGAGGGAAAATAGTTGATGTGCAGGCATCTTGCAAAGTGACTAATATTTAGAACCAACCAAAGAGATCCTTCTGAAAGCTGACTAACATTAATGACCAAAGTAGTGTTTGCTTTGTGTATAATGAGGATCGCTATTTGCGCTCAGGGGAGCATAATTAAGGAGGATTGGTAGAGTTTATAGTGAAGATTCATATTAATTTTCTATACAAATTTCAAAGCTGAGACATGGATTGTTCATTTTTTCAATCATGCTTGGTTTTGCAATTATATTTGAACCATAAAAGATACTTTAGATAACTCTTTCATGGATGAGCAACAAATGCCATCCTAATATACTTACTGTCCATTTTTGCAGAATCTGTTTAGACTACATATTTTGTGAATGCGTTTACAATTTTCGTCACTCTTGAGGTCAAATAATAGGTGCCGGTTTTATCTGTTTCCAGTTATTCTGCAAATTAATCTTTCTCCATCATCAGTGTTCCTCTAAATCTTTGTTAATAATGTTCAGAGTTTTGGTATCGACATGGAATATTTTCACCGTTAGTTACGTAGCCCCCTTGTTAAAAGCTATAAGGAGGCATTCTGATAAGTTTTTCACCATGAATATTGGAACTGAGCTAGAGGTGTCATTTTGAGATTAGGCAACTGAATCAACTGGACAAAAGGATATAACACAGATTGTACTGAGCTTGTACATACTGTTCTTCTTGTTGTGAGGAAGAGCCTTCGAGGAAAAAGAGTGGTAGAGCCTTGATGGGTTCATGAAACAGGGCTAGAACTGTGTGGAAATAGAATTCATATGTGGATCACCAAATCCTTCCATTGTTAATTGCAGAGTTTGTGTACAAACAGTAAACAAGGAGAATGTCCAATTCAAGCCTTCTCTGCTTTCCGTTATTGATCCAAAAACTCCATTGCACTGGAAAGCCATAGCTTTTTCTCATGAACCATCCAAAAAGTTCACGAGGAGTTCTGATTCCACCAATAAAATCGTCATAACTGAGTACCTGGTTCCTACTGATTGCAGTTTCAAGTTTCCCTCACGCAATCTGTGCTGATCATCATCATCATCATGATCGTTGTCGTCATCGTTGTCGTCAACGTCTATTGTAGAACTAAACATGAAAGTTGTCCATTAGGTAAGCACGTCTGTAGATTTTTGTAGTACCATAGTTAATGAATGGGATTAGTGATAATTAGGACTTGGACCATGAGAAAGGGGCTGATAGGCTATATGCTTATGAAATGGGCTTATGAAGTGCGTGGGCAGGAAGAGGTGAGTATAGTTATGGATGAAAAGTAGATTTCATGGGACTATAGGATATTGCGGATGATGGAACTTGTAGAAATCTTTTGACGTGTGATGTGCATAATGAGCCTAATTCTCACTGAGAAAACAAAATATTCCCGGGTTTGGATGGATATGGTGGAATCTTTTCTCCAAATTCTGGTGTTCTCTGATATCTCCT